CGGTTTACCTACAGGCTGTGGAAGAGGACTTTGTAGATATGCGAAAAGATGATCCTCAGAGTATGTCAGCAGAAGACCTTCATAGACTGCTGGTTGTTGCAAGGTGAGGTTCTTATTCAGCAAATGTGATTAAAAATGGGTTGCTTTTTTTTTTATATAAAAGAAAAAATGATAAGTTTTATTAGTTTGATTTTGATCAAATGGGATACCATTAAAGTGATAGTTTTATAGTAATTAATTTTTTTATAGATAGTAAAATTTTGTCATTGTTTATTCACCCTTTTCTTGTTTAAAACCAAATACATTTTTTTTCTTCTGTTAAACACAAATGAAAATGCGCTTAAGTGGTACCCATTTAGTACTTCTTTAGTCGTTTTTGTCCTACTATTGAAGTTGATGGGTCCCAGCAACCTATGGCAAGCCAGTTTGAGTTTAAAGGTTCAGGACACCCCGGAGAATTTCTTTTTTATATTAACAGATGTGTGTGTGTGTTGAGCATCAGTTAAGACAATGTTAGCACCTGTCAGCTTTAATTGTGGGGAAAACTGGATCATTTTGAGCTTTTGTCAGCTAATTTCAGCTTCCGGGTTTAAAATGATTTTTGGGGTGGGATCAAAATCGGCGACATAGCGCAGTACTGCAAGTGCAATGATGACGCGTCGGTTTCTCATTATTATTCATAGCGGAGTTTTCTTATCCTATGAGAAGAGCCGGTTGCTTAATTATTCATGAGACCTGCCAGACTTGCCAGTGTCAAGCCCGAGCTGAGAGACACGGAAACCACGGCACAGTATTTAGCCGTTCATGAAGGCTCATATGTGTTTGTTTCCATGATCCACGGGGTTTGTTGCATGTTTTCCCAGCGATCTTGTCAAGGCCGATCATACAGCAAAGCTGTGTGTGTGCTGCTAGCATTTTTGTCGGGAGAGCAGCACGAGAATTAGAGAATGGCAGGCGCTATCTTTTATCAGGAGTTCGTCCACATTCAGAAACATCGCCGTGCTGCTGTGTTTGCCTAAATCCTTCAGATTACCAGCAGGGTTAATGGTTAAAATAGACAGGTCAGGAGACCTGCTGCACTGAGTCTGCTGGATACGGGGATTGAGGGAGAAGTCCTCATTTATAGTGTTTACATGAACACATTTATCTTTATAATGATATAAATTGTGGTTATGTGTATATGAAATTACGGATAACAAATGTAGCAGGGCATTAAATCACTGTTCATTTCTTTGCATTTTAACTTTGTAAACTATAAACTCATGCATCTCCTCACGGTTTATCTCATTTTGTGAGCTAACTGACAACAACAGTTGTTCGTTCACGTTCTCCCCTGCTGGCTACGCCCACTCCTGCCCGATGCTCGCAGAGCTCCATGCCCATTAATCATGCTTCTTTTGAAAAAATTCTGAAGTAGACTTTAACCGAAAGTGGGGTGTGTCATTGCCCTTTAAAGGCCCGTTCACACCGAGACATTTTTTGCTCACGTTTTCTGTCAACGTTTAACGCCTCGTGACTAAATAAAGCCTGTCAATTTGATTGTGCACACCAGCGCGCAAAACGCCAGGCGCAAAAGTGTCATTTTTAAAAAAATGCCTCATGCTTGTTTTTTTGTTTTGACGCGCGGCGTCAAAACCTTCTCTGCCAATCAGATCGGCACTTTTGTTCACGTGCATGGAGCTGCTGAAGTTATCGTAAACAGCACTTGGAGGCGCTCAAGCTCAAAACTGTCAATGCAAACGCACAATGAAGAAGATGCCCAGAGGCGATATGAACGTGGAGCTGCTTATTGCTCTGTGAACACTAATCATTTCTTCATCGCTGGAGCTGCTGCTTGAACCATCCATGCTTGTTCGAGTCACCAGTAAATTTAACAACATGCGTGTGACTGTGAACTTCTGCTCCTCCACTTCTTCTGTTATAAGCGGGTGTCAGAAGCTTATAGTTGCGCAGCGCCAACGTCAAAAGAGTGATTTATAGGGATGTAACGGTATTGTAAATACCGTCATACCGCAATATTAATTTTTTTCGATATTACCGAAGTCGCATGACTCGGTAAAACTATAGGTCTTCTGAGAAAATTTGCTCAGGCGAATGAAGCGAACGGGACTACAATTCCCATCAGCCCATGCTTGACCATCATCCCTTGCGGTCTGTTGTCGCTACAGATCCAGTAATGCGGAAATGGAGTGTGCTGCTAGAAGCGGGGATGAAAAAGAGCTGTAAAACTCTAAAGCGGGTGTTGTCGCCGCGCGCGTTCTGAATAGCGGTGTTGTCGCGCGCGTACTGAATAGCAGTGTTGTCGCGCGAGTTCTTATCAGCTGTGTTGTCGCGTCGCGTCATATCTCTCTTGTCCCAGAAACCTCAGTCCCAAATGAGAGTTTTTTTTTCTGTTGCAGGGGACATTGTAAATACCCAGAGATACCAGCTTTTACCAGATTATATTTATATGATAATTTTCCTTTAAACCCATCTCTATCTAAGTGAGTGAGTGATTAAATGTTGAATGTGATGAGTTTTCAACAATACTAAATTGAAACTTAATTTTTTTACATGGTTTAATATTTTTTTGTTATTAAAATTGAAGTTCCTGTTTCAAAGCTTACAGATAGATGGCTAATTTGTATGTCATTGACACTTTTGGCACTTTTTTGGAGTATTTTCATAAGTTTTGTTTTTTCCTGTAAATGATTCAATAAATACCGTACCGTGACATTCATACCGAGGTATTACCGTACCGTGAAATTCTGATACCGTTACATCCCTAGTGATTTAGCATACTCTTCTGCTTGACGCCACTGAAAAACGTCTCGTAAAACGCTGACGATAAACACAAACAAAAAACGTCCCGGTGTGTAGGAGCCTTTAGGGTGCTTTCACACTAGCACTTTTGGACCGCACATGGGTTCGCTTGACGTCAGAGTACGGTACGTTTAGCTAGTGTGAACAGTCATCTGAACTCAGGTGTCCTTATGAACTGCACGCGAGTCTGCCTGAAAGAGGTTGTCTAGCATATTGTTCGTGTGAACTCTGGTCCAATTCTGATATGAATTTAATACCAAATAACGGAAGTGAAGCGCCAACTGTACAACAAACTTTAGTTTTCATAATGTTCATTCGTGTGTGTGTATGTCAGTGTACAACCTAACGTTTCCTTTGTGTTCGCCCTGGCTCAGGCCTACTTGTCACAGTGATAATATCAGCTTGTCTTCTCCAAAAACAACTTCTGCAGACATTGCGTTATGTTCTGAACGTTTTTAATATTTTTGCGGCAGATAGTTGCGAGTTCCTGTCTGTATGTCCAAAACCAAAAGATTTAGTAAAAGCAGAACAAATGTTCTTTCCGTTTTGTCGCCTTGGCTTTCGTAGCTGTCAACCACTGTACACACAAGCACATCACAAAGACGCAAACGTACCAGGGATCAGAAAGAAAAAAAAGATGTGTGAACACAAACAAGCCAAGAAGTTGACAAAGGAGGACAATCAAACTTTGGTTCGGACCAGGCAATTAAACCAAGAGTGTGAAAGCATCTTTATTCATTCCCAGAATATGATTTCAAAAATGTAAGTTTATGACCATGTTAATTTCTGACACTGTGAATTAATACTATTAAAACAAGTAATTGTAGATATCAGAAACTACTCTTTTAATCACATTTATAGATTTCAGAAGTAACATGCTGAAATATATGATATCTGAATAGAATATGAATTTATCAAGTCTCGATATCAAGAATTACATTTTTGATTTAAAAAATGCAGATTGTTGACAAAGAATTGCATTTCAACTCATAACAATGTCAGCATTCGCAGAAAATAAATTTCTTGATATCAAAAATGCTGATTGTTGAGATCAACAATTTAATGCTTAATATCAAGAATTTATACCCTGTTAAGCAATAAAAGTAAAAATGGCTAACTTAACAGGAAATGCAATTTCTGATATCAACAATTCAATAGTTGATATCAACAGTTTTTCTAATGATATAATCATCAATTAAATTGTTGATATTTATAACTGTTGATATCAACAGTTAATTTGAATTCATACACTGAGTCTGAATACAAGTCCAAACAGCCAGCGTTCTTCAAAATATATTTTTTGTGTTCAACAAAATAAAGAAACTAAAGGTTTAAAACCAAGAGTGAGAGTAAATAATGAGGTCACTCTCCATTTTGGGTGAGCAATGCCTTTGAAGAAAGCACAATGTATCATCAATTTACTTAGCAGGATGTGCAGTGTTAAGCTGTGATCGTTGATCTGACATGCATGCAGTTTCTCACGGTTAGGTGTGCATGGGATTCATTGGGAAATTGGATATAAGTTCACTTATTGCTTGATACGTGAACCATTTAAAAACATGTAATTTTGGATCTGTGCATTCAGCTTTAGTGACATCAGCTTTTTATGCTTTCTGTATTTAATGATATTCAGCAAATAAACTTATAAACCTATTTCTAAAAGTATTTTAGCTCCACTAACTTCATTACAAATACTTTCTATTTAGCAGTATTCAGAACACCTTTATAAAAAAAACAAAAGCAGAACTGTGCTGCCATTCACTATAAACCTTATTTTTAATATCAAGTCTGAAGTCATTTGTTCTAATCAAATGTGAACTGTGGCTCTGGAAGTGTCTCTTAGGGGAATATATGCAACATGCATGTTTTGCTTGATATTAATTGTAGCATTGCACTGTCACAGCATGTTATGCATGATGAGTTGCTGCTTTTCTGCTGAACAAATAAGTTCAATTCTTATTTACGTTTGTTTTCAGGTTGCTCTCATTGAGTCATGGACAGAACACACTTTCTAGAGACGGCTGGATGAAAGCCAAGCAGCTCGAGGCCTTGAGGATTAGTCGGACACAACAGCAGAAATGTGTGAACGGAAACGAGCCTTAAAATATATTGCTATTTACAACTACCTAAACAGATACCATACTTATTATTTTGGATTAAAAAGTAATGTTTTCATATGGCAAAAAAAACTCTTGTAAAGTTCGTTTTTTTTACTACATTTTAAACCTTTGGGAAAACTTAGACACTGGTGAAGTCGATTTTTGCATTATTTAGTTTTTCATACTTGCCTTGTATATTAACATTTATACAAATATGTAGACATGTAACAATGTATAACTGCCTTACAGCAAATATGTACACTTCTGGCACAAGGGTATTAGGAAAATAAAGTTTTGAAAACTTTGCCTTTATAGTTTTACTGAAATGAGGTCAATGTGACATTAATAAATATAACATCAGCCGAGTTATAATGTTGTATGACTGTAAATGAAAAGCTTTACAAGAAGGCTTGTCAGCATGGTTTAAAATAGCAAAACTCTAGTGCTAACACGTTGATGTTGAATGTCTTGGGCAATGTAACAGCAGATTTTTCCTCTGTTATAACCTGACTGAAGGATCCACAAACCTCTCACTCTGCATTTGAATGCTAAGAATGCAATTTAATGTAGCTCTGGGTACAAGAGGTCTTTCCTAGAAGGAGACACATTACTGTGAGCTGAGTAAACTTGTATTCTAATCAAGCTACAAACTAATCCAAACAACAGCTTCTTTTTTTAAAATATTTTACTTAAAAAGCCTCCCACGTACATCCCATAACATTTTAAAATACAGCAGTTTACACATTATTGTTATTAACATAGGAAAATACTGGGAAATAAGCATGAGAACATTAATTCTGAATAAATATTCTGCAATAAAATGTTAGATACAATGATAAACGATTCACAAAACAGGATGGAGGACGTTCTCTCGAATGGGAAGAGGCTGGAAGTGATGTGCTTAAGAAACGAGACGTAAGACAAAACAGACATGTCAGTTCGGTTACAAACATTGAAAATAAGTGGATTCAAAAGCACTTTGTGACAAGTTGCAACATTAAGATGTTGGGGGAATGGACCACAGGAACAGTGCAAGTCTTTATATGCATAGAAAATGAAACTTTTATACATAACCAAAAACAATCTAACCCCAATACCAAAACAAGAGGAATGTTGGTCAGCGAAAACCCTCATCTTAAGTTGAAAGCAGTCCAGTGCATGCAGTCTTAAATAGTTAAAAAACAAAATAATAAAAGTAACAAAAGTCAGCTTCCCACCAAAACCGCTGATGCACATGTATTTATCACATTGCATAACAGCCACCATATATTAAAGCTCAGACAGTTCCAATCTTGGAAGGTTATTAAAACCACGTACCAGCTTCAGGAATGTCTGAATGTGCACGCAATGCAACAGCATAAAGTTCTGTGCAAGGCAGTGGGTTACACAATGCTACAGTACATGTGAAATGAAGACGAGTAAGAAATGATGTGCGTGAAAAGCGTAACGGCGTGTTCGAAAAATTAACTCTGGCCCAAAGAATACAAGGTTATCATTGATTTCAGTGTGAGATCACAGTGTCTTATTCAGACCTCCTGATATTATGTAGCCCGCAAGATATTGAACTAGTCTTCTGACGCACAAAGATCAATCCCACAAGATCTGCACTTAAATGACATGAAGTAATGCATAATTAAACTAGGATCTACTGGACACCATCCAGTAATGTTCTTTCTACATCTTGAATAAATGGGGTAAGGCCACCTCAAAAGATGATCTAATCCCTTTCGCTTCCCCGTTTTGAACCCAACGACCTTCAAGTCAGAGCGAATCTAAAGACATGGCATAGACGAAACATAAATGTAACCTGAATGAAAACCGGTTCATAGGTAGACTTGTCGAAAACCTGCATTTAGCAATCTGGTAAGGCTTGCTCTTGCCTTTAAGTGTGCAAAATGATGTTTGTCTTGGGTACCTTGCGTCGGACTGGTGTCAAATAATCGTCATAAGTTATGCAAATAACTGTTTTTAGGTTTTAAGAGGTGCTTAAAACAGGTCCAATCTGCATAAAAATATTCCCCCAATGTACGAGCAGAGCTTTGAAAGATAACAGCCGACCATTGTTCAATTATCCCACCATTTACAACAACAAAAAAAAACATTTAAGACTTCGGACAAACAAACAATGTCCATCTTAGTCGCCCGCTAATGCTAAGAAATGTTTCGTTTGACCAAATAGCATGATTACATCAACAGCGCCCAATTGAACTAGAGACATCTTCCTTCAGCTATGATTATGAACTCAAACACGTGTAAATATAATCTTCCATCTATAAACCTCTTAATTGCAGAGTTCTAAAGGAAACTGCTACAGTACTTACATATAATACTTACAGTTGAATAATAAGTCTGACCATTGATCCTACACAAATATTGTGGTCCTATTTTGGGATATAATTTATGACAAACACCACATCAAAGATATCCATAAATATAACTGTACGGTCCGAGTATCTAACATGTAATATTAAGCTGCCCACAGACAGATATTTCAGTTGGGAAAGGATTTCGTTACAGCTACAACAGCCAGTGACCTGTACTGCACAAATGGGTTCAACATGACATATCTAGGTCTTGGGTCTTGACATGCAATAAAACTTGCCTGTCCTAATCTACCTCAAGAGTTACCTACTTAACATGCAAACCAGTGATGTATATATGATGTTTAGGGTTTGACTTGGATTCTGGGGCACTGTTGGATTAATCTTAGACATACTAGTTACTCAACACTGGCTGTAAACTTTGGTTAGGTTAAATGGAGGTGGTGAAACTGGGAGTGCGACTTGACATTAGTGAGCTTATGCTACCGTTATTGTACTGGAAGTTACGATCTAACGCTAAATATGCATCTGCCAAGCGCTCTATATCTGAATGATCCTGGTCTGGCACTGTGTAAACATTGCTCGCAATTCGTTCTCTTGGGTTTCATTGACAGCGTCTGGCTCTGGGCTTTTCTGTACTTTCGCCACAGCAAAGTTGATGCCTTGGGTAAGTCCGGCCTGGGTTAAACTAGCCACCTGTACCATGGAGCTCCTGATTTTCGCAAAGGGAGACACAACACGGCTTCCATTGCTGTCCGCTGAAGAGGGTCCTGTGATGCCTTCTAGACTCTTTTGTGATCCACATGATGTTGCGGAGCCCACAGGCTGGACAGTCAGGAGATTCGCCCCATGGACATTTGACTCCACTTCAAGCTGAGATGGGCGAGGAAGCTGATTTTGAGAATGTGAAGACCCTAGTTTTGCATCAGGAGCTAAGGGAACTTGAGGTCCTTGTGGCTTGGGTGCTGGAGCCACTTCCTCAAACACCTCAATTGGTTTGGTCTTGGCATCCTGTACAAATTGGTGGCAGTAAACATCGATAGGCGTCCCAAAGTCAATCAAAATGGCTTCCTCGGCCTCAGAGGCGGCCCCAGGAGACTGATCTGCGGCAACGGACAAGCTATCCATAGTCTTCTCATCACAGCCTGTGACTCGGATGACAGAAGGCACAGCGATCTCTACGCTGCCAATCGACTGCGAGCGACTGCCAAGCCGAGGTGCTGATGCTACAATTCCACAGCTAGGAAGCACATAGTCTACGTTTTCCCTAGAGCCTGAGCATGGCTGCTCGTCCGAGTTGTAGGAATCGGAATCAGAAGAAATCTCTTCTGAATGTGGGCCATGGTCTTTCAGAGCTCCCGAACCTGTATTGCTATCATGGGTCTCTAAACTGCTGTCTGATTTCCAGAGGTTCATATGCAAATTGGGCTTAAGGAAGTTCACTTTCACCTCAGGCTTCGAGAAGGTCCCCAGTTTCCCCAAGGGTTTGAAGTTTCCAATGTTGACATTGGTCTTCGTCTGCTTCACTTTCTGGTTTAGCGTTGAGAACTTGTTCAAAAAGAAACTTTTGCCTTGAGCCAATCCAGACCCAAGGACTTGGTCCACTGCTTTTCCTTGTATTCCCATTATATCCTCATGGGGTTTGCTGTGTCTCCTAAAACAAAGAGATTAAAGGAAGATCTATCAAGATCCTTGGAAACAGATGCATCTTAAATTAAAAAAAATATATATATATTAAAATAGTATTACAATTTCAAGTTGAGGGGAAAATTATGAGCATTCCTGTGAAATTTGAATTCTTTTTCAAATATTTCCCAAGTTATGTTTAACAGAGATAGGAAATGATTCATACTACAAAATTTATTCTAGAGAAAGTCTTGGCTGGAATAAAGGCAGATTTTTTTAAGGAAACCATGGGAACACTTAGGAAATATCTGAAAATAATTTAAATTTCACACGACGTGGATAATTGATAGTGTCCATCTCTAGGGCACTTTCCAGATCACCATTATCTGGACTTCTTGATATATACTTTTTTTCTTTTTTTATTTTAATAGATTTTAACATGTACAACAGAAATCAAACGTACAAAATAATAATGATAATAATAATACCAATACTAATAATTAAAACAATAAAAAAAACAAGAAATACATAAAATAACAATAAAAATATACAAACATAAAGGTAAATGCATGTACTTACACATTCAATATAAAAGTACATCATTTCCTTGCAATTAGTGGACATTATTCTGTTAACTAAAAAAATTGGCCACCCCCATCAAAATGGTTTAAAGAAATATATTCTAAAGACGATATATCTGGAAAAACAGGAGAATGATGTTGTGTTTTATTGATAAAATTTCTTATTTCTTATGCCGGCAGCTAGCTATCTGCAACTCCCACAAAGTCACCCACTGAAGCTAAGCAGGGCTGCCCCTGCTCAGTACCCGGATGGGAGACCACATGGGAAAGCTAGGTTGCAGCTGGAAGTGGTGTTAGTGAGGCATGTAGGTGGCGCTCAACCTGAGGTCTGTGTGGGTCCTAACGCCCCAGTATAGTGAAGGGGACACTATACTGTCAGTGAGCACCATCTTTAGGATGAGACGTTAAACTGGATGTCCTTCGAAAAGAGTAGGGGTTTAACCTGGCATCCTGGCCAAATTTGCCCACTGGCCCCTGTCCATTCTCATAATTGGCTTCATCACTCTTCATTTTATTCATATATTATTCATATATTGATGCATCTAATCTGAGATATTGGTAAAAGTGAGTTTTTTTCTTTTATCAATCATCAATCGTTCAGGCAGTGAAAATATGAACAAGCATGAGTTTTGTGCACATGATTTTCCCCAAAAATACAAACAGATCTTTACAAATCAGGTAAAACATTTTTTATTCAGAAAGTTTAAATAAATGTACGAAGAATAGTTTTTTTTTACCTCTCTAGTTTCTTCTCAACGACCTGAACATCAAGCCCCATAGCTTGCTTTGTAATTCGAAGCATTTCAGCAATGCACTGGAGTGTGTCTGAAATGGAAACAATCCAACAAGTGGAGAGGAAAGAATCAATTATTTATCACAACACAAAACTTATTCAAGCAACACCAGCATCCACAGAGCCAAGTTATATCTTTTACCAACTTAACCCATGAAGTCAATCACTGAATTACACAATACAAAACTTGAACTAGTGCCACACCAAATCATGGCTCCTCGGTACAAACCTTTCCCATCGTCCTCTGGATTTCGTGTGACAGATCTCAGTGTATGAAAGTAACCACTCGTCTCCCCATTCTTATAGTGCAGCCGCATGCAGCAGTATTTAGGCTTTCCAAATAGAGTTGGTTCTGGACCTAAAAACACCAATATTGGCAAACTGTCATGATCTCACAGAACATTTTAATTACGCCTTCATCAACAGATCTTACCAATTTCAATCTTTTCGAGTCCTTCTAAACTGAGTCTCTGGTACTGGTTGACTTTGTCCGCCTCCTCATCGTAACTAAACAGTAAAAGTAAATTGACATTACTGAAGCAATGCCAAGAAAAAAGGACACAAACATGAAGAGAAAATGGACTTACTAGGCTACATAATATGCAGAGTTGGAGAGCAGCAGAAGAACGTCGACATCTTTGTGAGTAGCATCTATAAGACTAAAAAGATGGAGAGAAAAACAGCATATTCAAAGGTCAAAATCCTTAAAGGGAGGCTCATAAAAGGCACCATTAAACCCTGGCCATATCAGAGAAAGAGAAACACAGGAAAAAAACTCAATGCAAGGAATTTCACAATGATGCAATTCATCATCTGTCCATAACAATTGATGCTTAATTGACGGTGTCATTACATCCTATTTGAAGATTTGTTAACCCAAATATGCAACACATATTATCATCAGAGATTACTTAGCAAAGTGTGCATTTGCAAGATTCTAGACTCCAGCCCCACCAGTACCAGGCTTTAGGCATCTATCACCATGACCTACCACCAAAAATGCTCAAAAGGTTTAAGAAAATTTGACTCCCTCACCCAAACAATTACAATTAAATAGAGGGAAAATACAATGTGTACCAGTACCTCTGTGCCATTGACAAAAATCTGTAGAAGAAAGAGTACACTAAAAATATCATTTATTAAAATCAAGCTTTATTATTGATCTTACTGATCTTAATATTTGTCATTGTAAAAATTTTAAAAAATGATAGAGATAGAAAGATAGATAGATAGATAGATAGATAGATAGATGATAGATAGATGATAGATAGATAGATAGATAGATAGATAGATAGATAGATAGATAGATAGATAGATAGATAGATAGATAGATAGATAGATAGATAGATAGATAGATAGATAGATAGATAATTATAATTATAATTATGTCTTAACTGAATATTCAATAAAAACAAATAAAAAAATTGACAGCTGTTAAAAAGGTTTAAGGAGTTGTTTATACATATGGAACTTTTCTGTATTCTAACCATGCTACCTTTTCATTAGGGCTGCATGATATTGGACAAATCTGATATTGCAATATTTTATTTTTCTGCAATAAATTTTGCAATATGAATACGGTTTCGCAACATAGATTGAATAGCACTATTTGGCACTAATAGCACTTTTGTTTTCTAGAAAGTCTAACAGTATTCAGGTACAGAAATTAAATAATCACACTGCAAAAAAAAATGCTTTTCTTACTTTGCTTTGTCCTGTTCCAAGTCGAAATATTTAAAAACTCTTAGATCAAGTAAAACTATTGTTTTATTTTCAACTTAAGAAGAAACAGAAGTCAAAATTAAAAGTTTTTTCTTAAAGTAAGCAAAGTGTTCGGCCAATGGCATAAGTACAAGTATCCTGTTTTTGCTTGGAAATGTAGATTAATGAACTAGAAACAAGACTAAAAAAATCTACGTAAAAAAAACCATTTTTTTTTTTTTTGCATAAATTTTATATAAATACGATTATTAAATACAATTATACAGCTTGTGGTCAACTAACGTTGCATATCTTGCATTGTGACTATTATCAATAATAGTGACAATAGCGATGCTGAAACAAAATATTGTGCCTTTCATTGTTTTTTCAAACATAACAATTCACTAGAATAGATGGACATCTTTGACTGTAAAATGCTTCGAAATACTGACTGCATCCAATATTGCAACCTTCCTTAGTATATGTTAGGGGAAAAGTACATCCAGGAGGTTATTGCAGAATAAAGCCTGACAGGCTTATCGACAACCCAACACGAAGTAAAGGAAAGCTGGCAGAAATGAAAATGGCTGAATGGTGCATACAAACTATGTATTATTCAAAAAGAGTCAAAAACAGAGGTGTGAAAGACAAGGACATAAAGATGGATGTGAACATATTTACTGATCATCAAGATGATTCAAATTTCCTAGATGTGTCTGTGTTATTAGTTTCAGCACTTGTTATTTGAGAATAAAGTGCCTTGAAATGTCACTACTGACCAATAAAGATCACGTATATCTGTAATATCTGTAATAAAGTGTGCATAAAACATCATGTAAAAGAGTGTAACAATACTCATTTATAATACTACTTTATTTACAACTTTTTAACTAGAGATGCACTGCTTGCAATTATTTTGTCAGATTAAAATTTTTTGGCAAGTGTGACCTGATTACAGAAATTTTGTCGATTACAAAATAAATTTTAAGATACATAATTCACTTCATATGCAAACAAAAACTTATATGTACTTCTAATTTTCATTATAAAAAACATTAACTGTGAAATTATTGAAAATTAATGAAAATGTTTAAATGTACAATATTAATAATTAAAATATATATTACAGTACCGACACAATGTGTAATTTTCCACTCTTTTTAACAATTTCTCTTTTTCTTATTATGAAATATTTTAAATAATATTTGCATGTACAGTTGAAGTCAAAATTATTAGTCCCCCTGAACCCCCCTGTTTAATGTTTTCCCCAATTACTGTTTAAAGGAGTGAAGTTTTTTTTCAACACATTTCTAAACATAGTAGTTTTAATAACTCATTTCTAATAACTGATTTATTTTATCTTTAACATAGTGACGGTAAATAATATTTGACTAGATCTTTTTCAAGACACTTCTATGCAGCTTAAAGTGACATTTAAAGGCTTAATTAGGTTAACTAGGCAGGTTATAGTAATTAGACAAGCTATTGTATAATGATAGTTTGTTCTGTAAAAACAAAATAATTTTTTTTTAATTAAAAAAAAAAAAAAAAAAAAAAATCGGGAAAAAATTAGCTTGAAGGGGCTAATAATTTCTTTGCTAAAATTGTTTTTAAAAAATTAAAAACTGCTTTTATTCTATCCGAAATAAAACAAATAAGACTTTCTCCAGACGAAAAAATTTTATCAGACATACTTTGAAAAATTCCTTACTCTGTTAAACATCATTTAGGAAATATAAAATTTTTAAAAATCTTAATTCAAAGGGGGGCTAATAATTCTGACTTCAACAGTATATTTTGTACTCTTATTTTACAGATACTAATTTTACTATATTTATCTTCTGTTAGGCACTTTCCCTTTTTGAAAGCAATTATGACTGATATTTCATGTATGATTCCAGTCCTTGGCCAGTAAAATGGTGCATCTTTATTTTTACTTAACATCTGAAAACACTACAAGAGAGAATTTGATAATGATAAATCACATGATCACGACAACATGGCGAATGTTATCATGTCTGGATTATATTTATAGTGAGACATACTTTTTAGCAGTCAACACTAGGGTTGAAATCAAAACTGGAACACAGTTTTATACCACCGCCCATCATCTTCCATGTAATTTTAAACTCAAAATTGTGTGAACAGCCCCTTTATACACAGCACATAAAATCGACTGTCTGAAGCACTGCTTAACGTGTAGTGCTCTCACCTGGGGTCACAGTCGATTAGAGCCCATCCGCCGTGAAACTTCTCATCATCAGGAAGTAGCAGTTGCATGTAGGTCTGCAGCAGAAGACTGACCTGCTCCTGAGCTCCTCTTTGGCTCTCCTTCTCCTTCTCCTCATGCTCCTTCTCTTTGCTGAAGATGGAGTACAGGTCTTCTGTTACGGGATGGCCCATCATGAGGTCTGGGAGAACCAGAGATAACAGCATATGACCGATGAGGCGGCAAGCTTGGCTCTTAGCAAAGTGAGGCTAACATGGAGTCAAAGAGTTCATAACATGGAGTCTAATTATGCTCACCGATGACGGCCTGTCGGTAGGCGTCCCTGAAGCGGTTCAGATAGTAACGGTTAGCTGAATTCACACCATCCTTCATCACCCCCGCTAACTTTCGCTCGCCTGTTCGTGTGAAATCTCCCTAAACAACAGATCGCACACAGCAGAGTAAGCTGACAGGGCTAAATCTCAAATGAAAATGACATTACAGTGACAGTGAGTACGTTGACATGGACACCAAACCCATTTTAATGCGATTGAGACAATACTTAATTAAAAGTCTACCATGTAAAACGATGACATATTTGTGTAAAAGGGGTTTAAGTGTGTATTTTTCGTGAGCGGGTTGCTGCTGCGATGGGGGCAGGGAGGAGGATCGCGTCGCCTATCGACCCAACCCTACATACATAAATACATTCATACTCAAAAACTAATTAAATCAAATAAAAATTCCATTTATTTTTTTAAACAATTTTAATTCATTATAAACTCAGTAATCATAATAAACACAGAAATTAAAATAAAGTAAAGAAATTATTTCTATAATATTTACATGATTTTAATAAATGATATGATCTGATGACTAGTTAAAAGATAACTGACTTGTCAATCTACACTCTAGTTACTACACGCTGACAGATGGCTGTGTAAACGGGCAAAGGGAAAAGCATAAAAATCAATGGCAGGCATTTAGTGTATTTACCTTCAGGGCAGCTGTGCCAGCGTACTGACGACTAATGGTGTCTCCATTGTTGGCCCACATCACCTGATAGATCCTGTAGCACTTGAGGGGCAGTGGCTGCTCGGGTGGCATTACACCAAGCTTTTTCAGCTGGAACCACACAGATCAAAAGGTTCTTTTCAATGCATACTAAGATCAGCTGAGTGAAGCAAAGACACTACGCACTTCTGTTGGTACAGTATCACTGCAATCCAATAAAACCATACTTTTATTTACACCGCAAGGCATTTAGCACATGATTGTTTGTTCATTCATATTTTACCACCATGTCAGCATCGGGGCTAGTTTAGTTATGGCAAAAAAGTTAATTTGTATTCATAGATTTTACAAAATTCAGGGTATTTTACTGCCATGACAACTTGATACAAGTATGAAGTCAATCAAGGGCCATATATACCTGCCACATAAAATAAAGTTTTGCAAACAAAAATTAAAGTATTGAGCAAAAAAATGTAAAATAATGCAAATCAAAAAATAAAATTAATTAATTAATTAATTAATTAATTAAAAATAAGTATATAAATAAAAATTTTAAAATCTCAAAGGGAGAATTAAGTTAAGAAATAAAAAAGAATTTTGCAAACAAAAATAAAAAAAACTGCAAGTAAAAATCAAGTAGTGCAAAACAAAAAAATTAAATAATTAAATAATTAAAAAATCTAAATGCATTAAGGCAACATTAGAAAAAATCTCCACTTTCCGCTCATTTTACAAGTCCCCTGGAGTTCTGTAACTGCAAAGTTTAAAATTTGAGCGAGATGACTAAAGCTAAGCTAACATAAACATGCTTCCGCCAGAGCCGGATATCAGCTAAATTAATTTAAAAAAATAATAAAACTCAACCGTTTAACTCCTATAAGTATCATTAAATTTGTCCAACAATGTTTACCAGTAGAGATGCAACGATTAAACAATTTCACTATTAACCGCGCTTTAATTCGTCCAGGTTATTTAATGTTAAGGCTTCTCAACACTGTGTTTCTACACAGAACAAAACTGCTGCAACTAAACAAAGTTATGTCAACTGTGCACTAGTTTGATGTTCCGAGCTTGTACATGGAGGCTAATACACACGCACACTGGATAATATAAGGTGATTTCATGTGATTTACTAAACTAGTAGTGTTTTGAAATTAATGAATGTATAACAATCGTGATAACCATGATTATTCCTCAGACCATAATCTTTCAACCAAAATTTATAATCGTTGCATCTCTTTTCACCAGTTGACAAGAGAAACAAAAGCTATTAATAGAAATGTACGCAAAAAATTTTGTGACCCAGTGCATTTATCACAAGATCTTATTCAAAACGTCCTCCATGTGTGAATTCATCCAAATGGTGCGTTCTGAAAAAAAAGGTAAATTTGCATACCTGCTGCTCCATGATGACACGGGCGATAGCCGCCTGTACCACATTGGTTCTGTCCAAGCAGTCCATGCAGTTCACCCGAAAAATGCCTTCCTGTTGGCAGATGACTCCTGCTTGGTCCACCCTATTTGCAAATCAAAGTAAGTGGAATATGTCCATACCATATCAGAAGCACTTCTTATTGGAGAATTAGGCAGATGCAAGACTCACCATGCCCATCTCATGTCTGTGATAATGTCATAGATGGCATCAGTGAGGGTCTGCACATTCTCAAACTTCATCCCTCGACTGAGAAGTGACAAATAAATCAAATGTTTAGTTGAGATGTTGACCTTTTGTTAAGTCATTAGGATTGGGAGATATTCGGGTTTCTTACCAGTGCTCATGGAAGTCGAATGAAACATATGTTAGGTTGGGATTGTTGTACAGTAACACTTGTTTGAGATAAGCATCACCAATTATCTTCTCACGTCCATTTTGGTCCACTAAATTGATGATGACCTAATGGAGGTGAAGAAAAAGAACTTCTGTAATACTGAAAAATTATATTGATTTTTCTTTTGTTGACAAATGCAATTGAATTACTGCAGGCCATTTGTTTTCATTATAAACACATTCCTAATGACATTTCTCTTTTGACAGGGCAATTAATTTGAATAGTGGAACATTCCAATTAATTACTGAATTATTGCTTAAACTATCATTTAGTGCTTAGGGTTATACTAAACAAAGAAATACTTATATTCGTCAAGACTGCATTAAAATGCATTAAGAATGCATTGAAATTGACAGTAAAGACACTTGAAAGGTTACAACAAATGTTTTTTTGTTTATGTTTCACAAAATTAAGCAACTGATTTCAAAAGTGATTTAAAACGTTTCACAAGCAACAAATAATCATGTTAGAAAATTACTAAAAGATTATTTCAGAGAACAGAGTAATGGTGCTTTGCCATGACATAAATTGATAAATGACAAATCTACAAGTACAAATATATATTTAAACCAAAAGAGTTACTTTAAATATAGTAATAATATTATTATGTTGTTATAATAATTTTATATTGTATTGTATTATTTCCCAGAGTTGGGTTGGGGCTGGAAGGGCATCCGCTGCGTAAAAACTTGCTAGATAAGTTGGCGGTTCATTCCGCTGTGGCGACCCCGGATTAATAAAGGGACTAAGCCGGCAAGAAAATGAATGAATGAATGTATTATATTGTATTTTATTTTGATTACACAAATGCAGTTTCACAATATATGATACATTATGTAACAGGTTTACTGAAGCATTAACGTTTAAATAATTCTAACATTAATAATGTATAAATATTTAAAATAATATATGACAGCATAACATACCAAAAGCACTGACTCCTAATACTGTTGAACCAGCTTCATTATACTATTTATATTAAAACAAAATGTATTTTAAATGTACAGGGAGGGCCATTTATATGGATATACCTTAATAAAATGGGAATGGTTGGAGATATTAACGTCCTGTTTGTGGCACATTATTATATGAGAGGGGGCTTGTAAATAACTCATGAAAGAATAAAGTTACGTTAAAACCAAGCACACCATTGTTTTTCTTGTGAAATTCCCAATGGGTTTATTAAAGGTGTATCCATAAAAATGGCCCACCCTGCACTTTTATTTTTAGAATTTCAATTTAAGTAATTTTGTTGATAAGTAGCTTTGTCAGTTTTATCACTCAGCTTTTATCAGCTGATTTCCACCTCAACATGTTGCACAACTTGAAGTAAAATTTGTATTTCACTCATTGATTATTCTAAATATTATTTTAAACGCATCTTACCAGTTTTTTGTAAGTTTCAACCTCCTTTTCAAAATGAGAGGCAAAGTAAGGCATAGTCTCCCTCTCTCCTGCAAGAAAGCACATCGATGAGATAAATCATATCACCAGGTGGATCACAGCATTGAAGCCACAGTCCAGCACAAAAATCCTCTCGGAGCATTATTTTTAACCAAAAAAGCCTGAAAACACACCTGCTCCACATCTGACACCTTTCACAGGCCTAAAACATTCCACACAACAACTACGCTGATGCATCAAAGTGATATACTGCTTGATCAGTGAGTTTGATCTCATTTATTATTCCAGGAGAGAATGGATTACACAGATACGACCCACCTTTCTCTATGCGAGGTCTGGGGTTGTATCGGTACCCAGCCTGGCTCCAGAACACAGGCACGGAGCCTCGCGTTTGCACAAAGGACAGAGTGTGACTGTGTACGTGGATTAACTGCTCTGTCTCTACATAGTTGGCCACATGTCCGTCTGTATCAACCCCCCTCCTCTTGTAGCGCATTCCTGCAGTGGGAAATGCATGATGATGTTACTTCTCTGATAACATGATGAGTAGATGTAAGTGATGCACAATACTGGATTTTTAAAACTGCTTGTGCCTTATATAAATACTGTTATCGTTTTTGTTCAGTTTTATTTTAAGTGTTTAAATGGAAAGTCAGACTACTGATATTTATTCCCCAAAACCTGTAGCTTCTGACCATTAAAGCAAATCAGAATTGTGATTTTATGACATCAATTAATGGTTAAATATCAATCTAGTTCATAGCAATGCTATGTATTTAAGTAAACCTAATATTTCAGTTGCTTGGAAGCAATATTGTGAGCAGATATTTAATTCTCAAAGAATCGGTTAGTCTTAGTCATAGATTCTAATCATTAGATAATGAGCAAACTTAAGGTCTGAAGGGCAAATTTGGCCCACCATTTCATTTTTCATTTGGCCCACCAAATGCAAATTCAAAGGGATAGTTGACCAAAAAATTTAAATTCTGTCATCATTTACTAATCTTTTTCTTGTTCCATATCTGTTTGAGTTCCTTTTATTCTGTTGTACACAAAAGAAGATATTTTCAAGAAAACTGAAAGCCTGTAACCACTGATTTTCTACTATGGAAGTGAACAAATACAGGTATTCAGCTTTCTTCAAAGTATCTTCTTTTGTTGTTCAACAGAATAAAGAAACTCAAAGTTTTAACCATTTCAGGGTGAGAAAAAAGTCAGTGCATTTTCTGTTTTTGGGTGAACTATTATTATTACTATCATTTTAAGTCTGCAATAAGGTTGTCAAAATTACAGCCTACGATACAAATAGGTACTGAAAAATTAAAAGCATCTAAAAAGCAATTGCTGAAGAGCAGTAAAGCGTGATCATAAAAGCCAATCACAGTTGTATCGACTGAGCACATGAACAAAATGGTCAAGCTGTCTATAAAAACATGCTCTACTAGACTAGAATGTTAGCGGAAAATTGAATGATACCTTTGACTGGTACCAAAGTCAGTACTAGTCTGCATTTTTTAGAAAAATTACCTCAAGAATGATTATAAATGTTTTGTACGTACAAAAAAAAAGGGTAGAAGGTTGTGTGTACAAAACAGGGATAGAAGGTTAGTTGTGATCTATAAAAAAATCTCCAAGTAAACATATTAATCTTAAATATTGTCTTAATTTACACCACTTGAAGGATCATATAAACCATAATCATTAATAAATAAACAAAAATGTCTTCTGGCATATGTTCACATTTAGAAAAGTTTCAACAGAAAGTTTTATTAATCGAGACCCCAAATCTTAGTTGGCTCACCTGATTTTATCAAACTCCTGGCAACAAAGTAATTTACTAAATGCTTAAAATCAGCACATCATCTTATAAGGCTGGGCGATACATTGAATATTGCAGATAATATCTCAATAATTTTGTCTACAATGTAAAATATTGAGAATATCTAATGTTTGAAATTCATGCATACTTTCCCAAAAGTACTCCCATACTTTCTCTCTCTGCTTTTGCTTTACTTTTTTCCAGTCCAAATTATTTGTATTAAATATTCCCCCAGTTGCAGTGTAAATTATTAAATAAATTTTATGAACTAGAAAGGTTGACAGAATGCACTTTCTGTTTGTTTTGCACTACTTCAGTTACAAATGTACATTTAATGAAAAACAGTGAATGAACACATGGTCTAGACCATGGGTCACCAATCTCGGTCCTGAAGGGCCGGTGTACCTGCAGGGTTTAGCTCCAACTTGCCTCCAACACACCTGCCTGGATGTTTCAAGTATACCTAGTAAGACCTTGATTAGGTTGTTCAGGTGTGTTTGATTAGGGTTAGAGCTAAAATCTGCAGGACACCGGCCCTCCAGGACCGAGATTGGTGACCCCTGGTCTAGATTTTTTATAACTACTAAAGATTTTGTTTTTAAGTGTCTTTAACAGTAGTTGTTCGAAAACATTTTTTGTTTGTTTTTTAATGAGGGCGCAAGAATATCATCCTTTTTATTATTTAAAAACAAAAGCAAACATATTGCAGTATATATTGAATATCTTAAAAACATTGACATCATCTGGATACAATTTATTTTGTTCGTAATCGCCCACCTATATTATCTTATTTATCAGGTCAATGCCAATATTCACATTTCAAGATTATCACTGAACTAAAGAATATTCAGACAGTACTGTGTATCCCTATCAAATAGAAATTATTATACACTCTACCTGCACGGTGGCGGCTCCGCCTGGAGATGAGGGCCACGGTGAAGCGAGGGTGAATGTCGTCCACACAGGTGGGCTCCTGCAGAGGCGTCTCCGGGCTGCTTCGCTCTTCATCTGAGCTCTCATTATAGTTCACCACCAGCTCCTCCACCTGCACGAAGCCTTGGATGATAGGAATCACCCAAAAGTCCACCTGAGGCGCCTGTAAAAAGACAGCTTGTATTAGAACCACTCAGGTCCGTTTCACATGTTAAAATGTTAATTGTTAAAATTCAAATAAGTTTTTCACCTGCAAGTCTACAAGGTCTTTGATCATGTGCTTGTTCCAGAAGAATCTATCATCCACCTAACATGAAAAACAAGTGGGGATCAGCACCACAACACAATGAAATGAAAGCACTGATATAAACTTTCAATACTGGTGAACAGGTGTTACTTTAGTTTTGTATAGTATTTATTAATGGAGACTATTAAAACTTTGTTATAATAATATATATTTAGGGGTTTTCACCTTCATTAGGACAGTGGAGATTTACAGACATGAAAGTGTTGGAAGTAGAGATAGGGGAAGGATGGGCAAAGAACCTCAAGCCAGGAATTGAATTCGGGTTGCCGCAAGCATCTGGGTGCCATGTGTCTATGCACTAACTTCTAGGCTAACAATGAAACAAACTAAACAATTTCCTGCTATAAGACAAAATTTCAACCTTTAAAAAATGTTACAGCTTCAAATTGCTCTACATATACATATTAAAACATTTTAGGATCACAAAATACAAATAAATAAATTTCTAAAAAGTAGAAATAAGAAAAAAAGAAAAAATATAAGAATAAGAAATATACGTTTTTTTATGGTGTGTGATCACATTCCTTAATATATTAAACATTAAATGCAGCTTAGAAACCTGTAAAATGTGTTGTAATTTTTATAGAAATATATATTATACTAACACAATGGACAATGAAACATTATTCAACTCTATTTAGTGTTTTTATTATAAATATTACTTAAAACCTTAAAGGTTCAAGACACCCTGGAGTACTTTTTTGAAATTTTAACAGATTTGTGTGTGTAATTGTGTTATTGTCAGCTGTAATTGTGGGGGAAAACTGGATAATTTGGAGCTTTTTTCATCTTCAGCTAATTTTAAAATGTAAAATTTGGGGGCGGGATCAAAACTGGTGGCGTAGCACGAATCTGCTAGTGGAGTGATGACGCGCCGGTTTCTTATTATTATTCATAGCAGAGTTTTCTTATCCTATGAGAAGACACATGCTTCTTAATTATTCATGAGAGCTTTCCAATGGCAAGGCAGACCTGCAAAGCTGTGAGACCCAATGACTGAGTGAGACTGGGTGAGACCATGTATGGCAAGCAGTGTTTAGCAGTTCATGAAGGGTCGTATGTGTTTGTTTCCAAGATTCACAGGGTTTGCTGCATGTTTTTGCCCGCGATGCTGTCAAGGTCGATACAGCAAAGCTGTAGATTTGCAGCAAGCATTTTTGCCAGGAGAGCTGTATGAGAATTGGAGAATGGCAGACTTTGTCTTTTATCAGTTGAGTTTGTTACAATTCAGACACATCTGTGCCGCTGTGTTCACCTATGTTTAAAATCCTCCGGATTACCGGCAGGGCTAATGGTTGGAATAGAACGAGAAAGAGACCTGCTGCACTATTCCACTGTGTCAGAATTCAGAACCAAGGATTCAGGAGGAGAAAAGTCCTCCTCAAATATAGAGTTTATATGAACATGATTATGTTTTTGATATATAACAAATTGTGGTTTTGTGTAAATGAAATTACGAGTAACAAATGTAGCAGAGCATTAAATGTAGCAGAGCTATTTATTTCTTTGCATTTTCACTTTGTAAACTAAATTCATGCATCTCCTCACGATTTGAGTCTCGTTTTGTGAGCCAACTGACAACATGTGTTCGCTTCCCTTTTTTTCCCCTGCTCTGCTGGCCACGCCCACTCCTCCCTCTGTTCGCAGCGCTCTATGCCCTTTATGAAACTTTTTTTTTTTAATTCTGAGGTCGACTTAAATCAAAAAGAGTGGAGTGTCATGACCATTTAAAGCAGGCACTTTACCTGCATTTAATGTGTAACATTTATTTTGTACATTTTTCTTCATTCAAACACCGAAATGGGGCTTATCTTATCTTTGACCTATTGATCTATATAATATTGCAATTAAATTGCAATCCATCACCTTTTCAATGAGCAACAGACTAACAAAATCTTAATTAGTTTCAAATGTACTTTGAGTTAAAATACATTTTAAAACAATAATAAATGCCACACAATTAAAAGATGGAAATTTTTCATGTACGGCTGTGAGTCGGCTTCTTACCCTTTTCCACAGGGGCTGATCTGACTTGCCCAACTCTCCCTGTCGCTGGACCGTATTGGTGAGGTCATAGGTCAGACTATAGTAAAAAGAATCCGAGTCCATGAATATCTTATAGAGCTCATCAAGCAGCCTCCTCTCCAGACGCTCCTTCTCTTTATTCTCTTTGACCTGAAAGGCAGGGGAATACTGGATAGGAGTGAACAAACAAATCGAGGTTAAAAGAGACAATGCCAAAAATAAGAATTACTTTCATGGAGGAAACAGAATGGTTAGCTTTTATATTAACCATGTTAAGGGGCCTTACACAGAACACATTGTCCATAGTTTTTCTACATACTATAAAGATGCACATTTTTTTTTATTGAAATTGGAAAAACAAACTGTTGTGAAGCACTCAATCCTTTGCAATGTCTCTTACATTGACTATAGGCCATGTGTCACGGCCTAGCTCCTTAATTTTTTAAATGCAAAAATGTATTCTATGCACACTAGCCCTAAAGTGAAGGAACTACCAGATAAGATGAAACAGCAATATTTAGTCTCAAAATTATAGGCATTAAAAAAAAAAACATCAACCTTTTTCTTGATGGGAGCGCCAACATTGGATTTGATCTGACTCAGGGTCTTCATCAGGAACTTGGTTTCATCCGGTGACTGGGTGATTCTCTCTGGTTTATTTATTCCAAAATGATGCTTTTTACAGAGCTGAAAGAAAATGAGAGGGGGAAACACTTAGCTAGAAATACGTTTTGGTCTCTAATCTCTAAGGTTCTTGCATCCTTACTATCTCTAGTCCTAACTAACTCTAATCTGACTGAACCTTACTTGTGACAAGCTGCTCTGACACAATCGACATTGTGAAAGCGCTATAGAATAAAATGAGTTTTTTTTTATTCTTGTACAGCAAGCCCCTGTAGATTTAACACATTTTGGCTTTGCCCATCTATATTGTCATTTTGGCAAAAAAAAGTGCTATAGAAATAAATATGACTATTAAAGCTAAATTGTCATATACAGTTAAAGTCTAAATGATTAGCCCTCCAGTGAAATTTGTACTGAGAACAGGAAAAAATATTTTACGACACATTTTTCAACATATTAGTTTTTAATAACTAATTTCTAATAACTGATTTATTTTGTCCTTGCCATGATGACAGAAAACACTATTTTACTATTTATTCAGCAAGGTACTAGTATGAAGCGTAAAGTGCAATTTAAAAGCTTAACTAGAGGAATTAGGTTTATTTGGCAAGTTAGGTTAATTAACCAAATAATAATAATGACCATAAAATTGTTTATTAAAAAGTAAAAACTGCTTTTATTCCAGCCAAACTAAAATAAATAAGACTTTCTCTCTCTCTATATATATATATATATATAAAACAATGTGAAAATGTATTTGCTCTTTTAAAAATCACTTGGGTAATATTTGAAAAAGAATACAAATTCCTTCCCACACTTTCCTGTCTGTAAACCTCAACAGTCCAATCACAATAAAGGTAAAAAACCCTAAAAATAATCATTTAAAAAAACTGTACAGCTCTAGGAAAAAAAAAAAAAAGAAACCCCTTATTATTGGTTATTGCTGGATATGCCATTAATATATACACGTGTTCTGAGTAATAATCTAAATAAAATTAGTTTTTAAAATAATCATTTAGAGCATTTATTTGTAGATAGTAGCAATAAGTTAATATAAAACATTTCATTTTTTAGACCTTAAATATTGGGAAAAAATATAAAGATAAAAAAAGATGAGCTTCATAAAATATTTAAGGTCTAAAAACGTAGATAATTGTATATAACTAGTGCTGTCAAAAGATTATTTGCATTAAAAAAAAGGATCATACTTGCAATATATATTTGTACATATATTTTGTGTATATTAATAGTAAAATCCAAAGAATATACAACTTAGAAGTGGTCTCTTAATTTTTTCCAAAGTTACGTGAACAATTGGCAGTTTACAGTGCGTGACCATTTTAGTTTCCCTGATCAAAATCCATCTGAAAACTGCTTCTAGTAATTGCTTTAATTAAAACAAAAAGGGCGCCAAGATGTGTCTGCTGATGCCAGAGCAGATTCATGTCGAGTCCAACTACACAGACAAGCTGCTATCACAAAGTAATAAAAGGCAATTATTCTGTGATCATCTAATTGAGAAGAAATAGCACGCTAGTACAATGGATTACAGTGACCTCTCACTGTTTCACTTACATGGTTAAACATCTCCTTTCAATCCCAGAAGCTCTGCCGAGACTGACTTCTTAGAAACTTCACGCTTCCTCTGGAATGCCTTAATGAACACACACCACTACTCTCACACTAACTGTAGGTCAACCATTTACTACACAAGACAAGGCTAGAAATACCTAAAGTCTTAACCGGGTACAAATTGGGAGTTTGGAAAAAAGTTCAGTAAATTCTATCAGGATCCAAAGAATGTCTACCAACATGGACAATGAAAAGAAATAACAGTTCAAACGTTAAAAAACAGAGGGCTTCTCACACTTGAAATAGTTAAACCTGGGACATTCTAAACCTCCAGGTAAACAGTTGCGCAATTCTAAAGTGTTAAAGGAGCTATATGTAATTACCTAGGAATCACATTTTTATTGGCTTTGTGTGAGTGGCTTGTAGCCAACTTAAAAATTAGACCTTCCCAAAACTCTCAATGTGTCATTCAATGAAAAGCAGTTTATTCAAAGGTAAAGGCTATTGTCTCAAATATGCTTTATACCAAAGCTTTGATTGCAGCGTAATTTTTATTTAATGCAAATATATTCATATTTCTAAGAAGAGATGCTTCCATAAAGATATAGTTCACATAAAAAATAAACATTTATTCATCCTTTTTTCTGTTGAACACAATAGAATTTCTTGGATATTGGTATTGTCTCTTTAAGGCAGGGGTGTCCAAACTCGGTCCTGAAGGGCCAGTGTCCTAGAGAGTTTAGCTCCAATTTGCTTCAACACACCTGCTTGGAAGTTTCTAGTATATCTAGTAAGAGCTTGATTAGCTGGTTCAGGTGTGTTTGATTAGGGTTGGAGCTAAACTCTCCTGGACACCGGCCCTCCAGGGCCGAGTTTAGACACCCCTGCTTTAAGGCAAGAAATTTCACTCGGCGGCCATCTTTGAAATGCCTCTCAGGCAGTATGCATTAAATTCAACATTAAATTCACTAAAACTGTTTGCCAAGCTTACGGTTACATTACATATTTGGAATAACCAATACAATTAAACAACAACTGTCTATTAAGTTTAATTTCAAAATGTTCGAATCAAACAAAATCGTCATATTTCAGATTGTCCAAGCTAAAGCACATGCACACTCGAAAGGAACAAGACCACGAAACCAACCTCATTTATGGCCGTGTTACACAATATCATCCTCGGAATAATGCTTCGTCAGATAACGCTGGTCTTCTAAAGTAATTCAAAACTTGGTCTGAATGGTGAATCTCCCCCAGAAATAACAGCAAGTCTTTGTTTACAAGTTTGTGGGCATTTGAATAGTTGCTGTCATGTCATGTGCGTTTGACAGGGCGGACTGTACCTCGCGTTTGTTTCATACATGTTACAAAACCAGAAAACGTTCATTTTCAAGTGTACAGATTAAAAAGTACAGATTTCAAGCTTTATCTGGATATACTTCTTATGTCTGTGAAGCAACAGTTGTTTTCAACAGTTGTTTTCTAACAGCTGTCAAAAGACTGGCTGGTTCCATAAACCGGGTAAATAGTGGTGCTAACCCTGCTTTTAAATCACAACTGTGAAACATTCCTTCACCACAGGTTAAAAGTCAGCAAGAATGGTGATAGCCCAAGATTATGCATACTAAAAAAATTTATATATACCGTTTAAAGAGACAGTTCACCTAGAAATATAAAATCTCCTCATTTTCTTGCATCCACATGTATGAGCTTCTTGCTTCAGTTGACAAAACCCACTGATTTTGATCAATGGAAGTCAATGGGTACTGTTAACTGCTTGGGTTTCTAACATTCTTCAAAACATCTTTTATGTTCAACTTTTATGTTTGGAAGAACTTGAGAGTAATATAAAAGTAAAATGTAATTTTGGGATGAACTGTCCCTTTTATTTAATTAGCTGAAGATTACAACTTTAGTTTAATTCTATTCTATCTTTAATCAAATCCAGAACATTGAACATTTGCACAAAACAGTCCATCTTAGTCACCTCTAATTCCAGATCCTGTGGTTCATCCTCTGAGAGTGGAATCACTACTATCTTGGTGATCTTGTAGACTTTGTGGTCTCCTGGCAACTGGCCCACCAGTGCTTTCTGGCGAATCAGAATCAGGCCCAGAGGAAGATCTGCCCAAAAGGGGAGAGGAAGGGAGTGTGTCATGAGTTCCACACCTCGTTTTCCTGCTCTATCCGGCATGAATCATTCCTAAGCCAAACATTCTCATAACAACACCTTCGAAGACATTTGCATGGAGGCACGGTGCAATCATACTTTCACTGACAACTCAGTATAAATCAATAGTTAAAAGTGCACCCTGCAGCAGGCAACTGAGATGTTAAGGTGGAAAATTTAATGAGAACAGCCTGGGCTCTTTGAAGGAATAGTGCAAGGAAATATCGGGTTTGCCCGCTGGATTATGTTACAACGCAAGGCATGTACACTGTGTAGCTACAAACTGATGGGTCTGTCTGTGTAGCTTTGCCCTGGAAAACAGCAATCAAGCATAAAATGTCAACCAATTATTTTAGTCATCAGTGCTAATGCACCATTCAAATATAGAAGGCAGCAAGTGTTTCTCTGAAAAGGGAACAGAGACTGACATCATAACGACAATATACACATTAAGCTAACCTGCCAACAATGGACAGAAGCTGATTTCTCAATTTAGACACAGAAAGATGAAATGAAAGTACAATGGAAGCTTATAATTTCACTTGTATCCCTAAAGAGTTTCCTTTTTTAATCCATTAAAGGGCAGTTGTTTAGTTGAATGGTTTCTGTAAACCTACAACAAGACACATTCACAACAAAGCTCTGAAAGATATTTAGCAATTACAAAACAATAATAAACCAAATAATGCTGACATTTTGTTCTGGTGCTGGAACAGCTTTTCATTATGTTAATCATTATGAGTCTCTGGTACCCAGTTTCTTCCTGCGACAAACTGAATTACAGTAGAACCAAATGGAAATGATCACATTTGACATTAAATCAGGCTCAGAATGGTACTTTAACAATAATTACATTAGACTCTAAATCTGTTTTATTCCAAGATTCAGAACCACCGAATGCATTGCAAACATTAACATGTTACTCTCATCCTTCCTACCTTAGTACAAAGCAGACTTACCAACATGAAGCTGCATTTTTCCAATGATGCCCTCTACAAGGCCCAGACAGACAGGGTTCCATGCTAGCAACAAGTCGGTTGCTGAAAGAAAGATGGATATGAGTCACTTAGGATCAAAACATTTAAGCTAGTAACAGAATCATAGTGCACTGAATCTATTGGTAATTAAGATAAAACATGGGGTTGGGGGATGAGGTGTAGATAATAGTGCATTTTCAAGAGTCTAGACTTACTTTTCCCCTCCAATACTCTTTATGTTTTTAAATATTTGGTGTTAATAATGTTTTGGAAAATACACATTCACTTTGAGTGTGTATTATATTATATTATATTATATTATATTATATTATATTATATTATATTATATTATATTATATTATATTATATTATATTATATTATATTATATTATATTATATTATAATAATATTATATTATAGCCATTTAACATTTTTTTTTTCCTTATTTATAATTGCAACAATTAAGTAGTCTAAACTAAGCATGGACAATAACTGGTTTGAAGGTATAATATGGTTTTATAAAAATCATAGTTTTAAAACCGCTAAAATGTTTTGTTATTTTTTTCTGTGTGTACAATGTGTTCTGTTCTACTTTGTGTGTTAGGAAAAAAAAACTGTTGTATTTATTTTTATACATTTTTTTTTAACTCCAACACCAAAGGACCATCTCCATCAAATGCTACTGGTCATCCCACGATTCAAGGGCGTAGATTTGGCATGGATGGCGGGGACTACCAATATCCACTAATTACTGAAATGTCCCTACCATTAATTTAATCAACTTCAAAATAAAATAATGCTCCGTCAACCTTTAGTAACCTACTTGTGCACAAAGGGTTAAAGTCAAGCTTGCTATAAGTTCACTATAATACTATTACCTAAGGCTGTGCAATGAATCAAAATTCAGTTTCGAATTGGCCTCTATGATTATGAAAAATAATAATCTTATAAAACAGTTAATTTGCGTCACACATTTCTCTGAATTTCTCTTCATTCATACCTCCTCAAAGCCAGATTGCAGTAAAATCATGTAAATTGACTTTTGCAGCATGGGACATCATTTGTTAATTGTTATTTGTATTATTCAGTGTAATGTGTATTTGTATTATCCAATGTCAAGAGCGAATCTACGCCCTTGCCACGATTCAAAAAATGTTTATTCACCAACATCCAAGCATGCTAAATACCTGAACAGTGCAGTGGCGGATTTATATCCAAAAAAAAGTTGAAATCTCTGTTTTTGAAACTAAAGAAGATAGCAGAAGTCAATAATTTATTGAAATTATTTAGCCTGACACGTGTACGGTTCCAAAATATTTTAAACATTTCTTAAAATAAAAAATACTGTGTTCAGTGAAGAAAATAAAGCTGTTGTTTTTACCCGACATTTAAAAATTGTTTCTATTAGAGCAGTAATCACAATACAGTAATACAGTGAAACAGTAATATTTTAGTCCAAGGTTATCATACCGTCAGAATCTTATTGTGCATGCTTAATCTACACGTTAGTCTGTTTTTTTTAAATTCACATGATTTTTTATTATTATTATTCGCGGCAGCATCCGCACAGCTTTAGCAAGAGTTAGGGCTGCTCGATATTGGAAAAACCCAGCATTGCAATATTTTTTTTATTTTGCGATACATATTGCGATACGAATACAATTTCCCCAGATAACTTAATATCTCTATTTGGAAATAATTTATAATGTTAGATCAATTCGGATGATTCTGTAGTGGGAGTGCATCTCCATAAAATTCAATAAATAAACTATAAACTTTTTTGGGTCCCCCCTCACATTTCCATTGTAGTCTGTGCTATTTGCAGTGCATTACTGTATTTACATGTGTTATGAGTATTTCCATGCACTTTTTTTAGTCAGAGATTGATGAATTATTGTTTACTATTTGTATCTGCATAAAATCTAATAAATAATCCAGAAAGTTTTTGGGTCACCCAACTCATTTTCGTTGTGTGTAGTCTTTGCTATTTCTGTATTTGCATATCTTGTGATTTCTTATACTTGAAGTATACAATCACAGGCATCAAAAACATGTGCAAATGATACATTGTGATACATTTGCATATCCTGCGAATCTGCGATGTGACTATTACGTATGATCACATTGCGATATCCATGCTGAAACGATATATTGTGCAGCTCCAATAAGAGTGCAGCAATGACTGCTGACTTGAGTCAATGACTTGCTGAGCGGCACCTCTTAAGCAGAATGATCAGCATCACCTGCATTGTCAGGAATGATGTGCAGGGTCATGAGAAAAGACAGCGTTTCTAGAGTATGTCTGACAGTATATGGTTTCTCAGAAATCAGAAGTCCTTTTGAAGGAGCAGATTTGCGGCTGTTGGGCAACCAACCATCTCCTGACTAATTGTGAATAGACGTTCACAGCTTGATGATTGATGGGTGCGAGCTAGATGAGCTGTATTTTGAAGTTGCCAACAATCTGTCAGAATGACCATGAGCTCGGCACTGGGCAAAAATCCCAATGAAAGATCTCCAATTACTACACCATGAAAATCTGGTATATTACCTTGGTAGCTACATGACTTTATGGAAGCAGTTTTATAACAAAATTACTAAGAAATTCTGAAGTCTAAACATTGCACTCAAATTGTTATTAAAATTGGCAATGAAGTAAACATCAGTAAGATCTGCTCATATGATTGCCTGATGTACAACTGAATTGTGGGCTCTACTCATTTACCAAACCACACATATTTAGAAGACTGAATTATAAACAAACTATTAAGTACTACAGTGGTATAACCTCAGCCAGACATACTGGAAATTGTGGAACTCGTACAAAAGAACTGAGACTGTATCTATGCATCATGCATATAGTGGAAACCCTTATCCAGTTAAATAATGGAACAGCAGTGCAACCTAAACCCGATCAGCCTGACTGAACGCACGTGGCTTAAAACAACTAGATCTCATTCAAATCTTCATAGGCTTTGAAGACACGGAGAGTTGGACATGCTGCTCATCTAGTCTTAGACGTGGCAAGAAATACATGTGGTGTTGGGAACACATTCAAAGATGAAGATTGTGGTTCGTGGCTGAACATTCAGAAAGTTTAGTTTAAAAATCCAATTAAAGAAAACATTGGTTAAATATTACCGTAAATTGAAGTAGTAAACATACAATGTACCACTGTAAGTGAAAACTGCATGAGGTTAGATAAGCTGGTTTGATACCAGGGCAAAAGAGCGGACTAATTTGACTATCTGCGCCTTGACCTAACACACCTACCACTTTCTCTAGAAGAATGGTCACATGTTTGGCCCTGACTTTAACCTTTGCCATTTAACTGTGCAACTAGATATTTCCCTTGTGAGAGGTTTAACAGAATTAGAATGAGCCCACATATTCATACACCTCCTCGCTGGTTAAAAAAAATATTGTCGCAACATAAGTAGCCATCAGAGAAAATCAGAGAAATTTTTCCCCAATTTTTGTTTAACGGAGAGCAGATTTTTTTTCGACACATTTCTAAACATAATAGATTTAATAACTCATTTCTAATAACAGATTTATGTTTGCCATAATGACAGTAAATAATAGTTTACTAGATATTGTTCATGACACTTCTATACGGCTTAAAGGGACATTTAAAGGCTTAACTAGGTTAATTAGGTTAACTAGGCAAGTTAGGGTAATAAGGCAAGTTATTGTATAACAATGGTATGTTCTGTAGACTACCGAAAAAAATATATAGAGCTTAAAGGGGCTAATAATTTTGACCTTGACACCTTTTTTTTTATTAATAAAAACTGCTTTTATTCTAGCCAAAATAAAACAAATAAGACTTTCTCCAGAAGAAAAAATATTGTCAGACATACTGTGAAAATATTTAAAAATATATATTAAAATAATATATATAAATATAAAATTCAAAGGGTAGCTAATAATTCTCACCTCAACTGTAGGTGCTATATTTCTCCTGAAGAAGTTTAAAAACGCTTCAAGATAAAACAATTCATGAAATGCAAATCAACAGCTAAACAAACTCAAGAGTGAATTTTTGCTCCTGATTGGTAGGATGCTTGTGAACACACTTCGAACCTTTGCAGAGGGGTTGTTGCTAAAATGGATATATCTGCGGTCGGAAGTTAACAAGAATTATTTATGTCATTTATTAAATTACTCAATGATTGTATTTTATTCATGTCTACTTCTACCCAAACCCTAAAGCTAACCCTCACAGTAATGTAAAAACAATAACTATAGGAAGTATAGTTCATATTATTAATTAAATTACCCATTAAAATTATTTTATTAACACCTACCCCTACCCTAAACCCAACCCTCAAAGGAATGTAAAAACCATTATAAAACATATTATTCATTTAAAAATATAGTTCATAGTATTGTTCATATCATTAAGTGAACTACCCATTAAATGTATTGTATTAATGCCTACCCCTTAAACCCAACCTTCAGTCATATAAAAATAGTAACTATTGTTGTGCAATGTCACAAAAATGATGTTATACTGATGTGTGTATTCCTTCTAGACTTTACCTTGCAGAAGCTGTGGATTAAATGTTGTAAAAGGATTTTAGTTTCTTGTACAGACCAATCGATTTGCTGTACAAGATATCCATGTCAGTCAGGACTCAGGAGTATAAATTTAGTTTTGCCTGTACATGTTTTTTGACAGTAAAAGTGCTGGCAGTCATTGTTTTGTGTTCTGTAAATTCCCAAGAACCACATTTCAGCTAAAATCATCTCTATTGGAGTGAATACAATCAGTCACATCTCGGATGACCTGTGGGTGTGCAAATTAACAGCAACTGAGATTTTTTTGGTAGCCTAAACTATCCCTTTAGAAGAATTGATGAATGTTAAAATTTGTATTCTGACATTCCAAGCAGAATCAGATCATACGACTGTTTGTTTAAGCTACATTCGTAGCCTCTGCTTTTGGAAACATGAGATGAAACTAGGCCCAAAGCATGTGACAACATTAGATTTTTTATTTATTTATTTTTTTGTAATAACAATAATACTTTTACATTTAATTTTGCATAATATATAGGCTACATTGTTTATTAAATTAGCAATTTTCATTCAACTATTGTCATTATTTGCTCACCCTCAAACTTTTCATGAAACATAAAAAATAGGTCATTTCAGGAATAATTTTAGGGACTGACAGGCTTTCTCGATTCCCCTTTGCTGTTCAGTATGAAAAAAGGTGAAATGAAAGTAATGATAAGCGAGTCTGTAAGTGCTACTCTGTTTAACATCTCCTTTCGAGTTCGACCCAATAAAAATCACACATGGTTTGGAAAAAAACGAGTAAATAAAACACACATTATTTTTATGTAAACTAAGATTTTTAAGCTGACATTTCAACACCCTTGACCAAAATACACTAAGGCTCAAAACCCCATTTAACGAGGAAAGCGAAGCAAATTTAAAGCACGACATCAGATCAAAATATCATCAGAGGTTTACACTGACACTGATGTCATCCACGCGCCGCTGCTTTGAAACTAGGGCAATGAAAACACCACGACTGGACATCTTTCACATAACAACCTCAATAGCACATAAGAAACTGGCATTTCCATCTTGTTCAGGGGATTTTAGAATGACAGGAGCAAAAACCACTCATTTTTGGTTTTGTTTTGAAGCAGTCTGAAATGTCTTTGAAGCGGGATAAGTGGCAACATCAAACGGAAACTGTAACACACTGTAACGTTATATGAAAGTGATGGAGTTGAAATGTAAGCATTACCCGGTCTCACGGCCATAGATCCATCCTTCCTGCTGCACCACAGCGCGTTATCTCCGCTCTGGAGAATATAATGATCTTTAGCCTGAAACAGCTCCATGTTCCCCGTAATACCGAAACATACGCGCGTCCCGACAAACCGCTGGATTTGTTCCCGATCCGAGAAACGAGGAAATGAAGCAGCTCCCTTGTCGCCCGCTGGCAGTCCCAGTAGACGCCAGCTAACCTGCTAGCTCTGTACCTGTGTAAACGTTTATATTAATCTGATCAGACATCGTGCCTTTACATCGGCTAATGGCCGACCATCGTAAATGAGTCGACGGCACATTTAATGTCAGTTTAATAAGGACGATGTTCTTGTAGTGCTTCGGAAATGTGCCGGTCGGTCTAATATTTTCCACTGAGGGGAGCAGCAGCAGCGAAACAATTTCCTCCAGTTATACACACACGTGACCTCCTCCGTCACACTGAACATCATAGTTCATCTGAGTCGATGCCCCACCTGCACTACTTGTTTTGATGTGTTGATTTATGATATAGTCTACGGAATTCTGAAACATGACCATATATGTACATATAAAATTATTGCTAACATTTGAACATGATATGTATTTGTAAATCTGATGTTTAAACGAAATTATGTAATATTTAAGAAATTTTGAATTATGTTGCATAAATAGACGGATATGAGGTGTTTTTCATTCATTCATTCATTTTCTTGTCGGCTTAGTCCCTTTATTAATCCGGGGTCACCACAGCGGAATGAACCGCCAACTTATCCAGCAAGTTTTTATGCAGCGGATGCATCCACACACACACACTCATACACTACGGACAATTTAGCCTTCCCAATTCACCTGTGCCGCATGTCTTTGGACAGTGGGGGAAACCGGAGCACCCAGAGGAAACCCACGCGAAGGCAGGGAGAACATGCAAACTCCACACAGAAACGCTAACTGAGCCGAGGCTCGACCCAGCGACCTTCTTGCAGTGAGGCGACAGCACTACCTACTGCGCCACTGCCTCACCCTGAGGTGTTTTTATAAGTGTGAAATCCAATTATGAACTTATATGAAATATAGACTATGTGATTTGCATATATTGCCATATATCAAATTTCTATTTTTGACATTTATATTTACATGACAACACTCATGAAATGCTGTAGGGCTATTGGAGCCTAATTTCTGAAACTGGTAAACAACTAGGCTAGTTCTCGTATTCAAAATTGGTGGACTATTTACTGCCTTAAATTACCACATAAAAACAAGCACTTAATGTACTATTCCGTATAGATGCCACTTATTTTCTATATTTTTTATTTTTTAGCTTCAGGTTTGTTTTATGTTTTTTTTCTTTTTATGATTAATGTATCTGATAGTTGCTCTCTCCTCTTATCCAGGGGCACCATAGGGTTTATCTTCAAAGAATATTATCTTGGGCCTCCATTGAAATCATATTTCTGTGGGTCCACTGTCTGATCATCAGGACCCCTGGAATTTAACTAACCCTCCCATAATAACAGAGCAGCCTACAGTATACACAGGAATCAATAAGTGAAATTCAAAACATTTTAGGACCTTTTTTTTAAAGCTCTTTCCTTACATTTTAAGATCTTATAACCACCTTAGGTTTCATCCGGAAACACTGGCAAGATTTTAACTAACAGTATATTCACTAAATATTAATGTAAGAAACAAATCCGAGTACTTTGTAAATAATCAATAAAAAACAAGAAGGGTAATCGATGACATTTTTAAAAAATTGTTTAATTTGTATATGTCCATTTGTGCTCTACACAACTAGAGAATTGAAATTTACCTTATGTACCACCTTTTGCAGCTAGTCCTACAACCAGTATTTGAAAGGACACGAGTAAACCGAATCTTCTTTTAAAAAGGGCTTACTAAAGAAATGCAAATAAAATACAAAGGTACAATAAACTCGATATGGCTCGGTCAAATAACTGTTGCTTTCAACGTCCATAGCTGACCTAAACGTATATACTAATGACATCATCCACTCTCAGAAAAAAAAGATATGCAGTGGTACAAGTAATGTTTCTTAAGGAACACTTTTGTACCTTTGTAAAAGCTGTACATTATATGGTACAGAAAAGACCCCTTATGATATTTTTCTGTACCTTTTATGGTACAATTGAAAGTAATATACACAATTGTTCTCATAAAAAGGTATATAAGTGTTGGACAACTCCTACTTTATTACAATATCTATGAAAATAAATATTACAGGAAAGGCAAAGCGATTTTATAAAATAATTTCCATATTAAAACATGAATAATCACATGAATGCATATGTTTAAAGAAACTTATAAACATTATTTAAGTTCTATAATACAAAACAACTGATAAAACAAAACTATAGGTATTGTAAACTAAACATTTTAGGCAGTTTTAATAAACATTTGGTAAGCATTTTCTGATAGATACATTTTTATTGTTGATATCTGCACCTTTTGGCGTTTGCTTTCCACTACGCACGCGAGCTGGCAAAAGTCCTGCATATGCAAAGTGTTCATGCAGACATTTTACTATTGTAAAACTAATCAAGCATTGTGCATATCTCGTTACAATACTTTTGCATAATTCTGTTTCTATTTTAAAATTAAGCAAATTAAATTGACTTTTGAGTGATTACAAAGGTATTGTGTTAAAATTGGAGAAAAGTTTTATATTGTACATGGGAGAACATATTTCTGTAGCAGTTTTGTGAAAAGTGTTGTGAAGTGTTTAGCAAAAAATAGATCTTTTGATTTATGTTAAAGTAGTTTTTATTCTTTATTGTAAATGGAAGAGGTGCATTTACACAAAAATAAACATTAAAAAAAAAACATTGTTTAAAAGTGTATTTGATGTTTTATATTCACTGAAAATAAATTGACACGTTTTGGATAAACAGTAGCAAAATGCCTTTAAATAGTTCTTGAAGGAACACATTTGACACTGTCAAGGTACAAAGTGTTTTGTCACTGTCGTGATGCCTTCATGGATCAGATTTGTACAATATTGTATCTGCAGGTTTTAAAAACTAAAGGTACACTTTGTTTTCCCATGGTACTATTCATGTCATTAAAGGTACAAACTGCAATGGTACAAATTTGTTTATTTGTCTTAAGGGACCATTCTGGTCCATAAAAAGGTACCGCCCCAGTGACAAGGGTTTGTTCCTTCTTTGGTTCAACATGGTACCATTTTTTTTCTGAGAGTGTGATGTATTACTTGACCAAAAAAAATAAATTTTATTAATTAGTTAATTAGTTCAACCCTTTTAACTAAATTTTCATCACAAATAAATTACACATAACTGGCTCTTACAGGGTGGGTGGAGTGGTTGGGGGACGGGCGATATTGACAACATGCACATGCATAATATGGTTTCAGTGTAAATGCATGCATGAGTACTTGATGGCTAAAGCAACAAGGGCAGACTGCAGTTCCGTATGTATAGTGTCTCTCTCCCAAATTGCACATTTTCTGTGCTTATTCATAATGTTCATCATAAATTGCACAAGAAATTACTATTCAACTTACACAACTGGCTCATACTACTTTACTGTTATTTTATAGCATAAATTAAAAAAATGATTTGGACTGCTATTTAATCTTTATGTTTATTCATCAATAGAAATATTGCTTCAGGCTTATATATTTTAAGTAAAATGAAATGGTACTAGATAGATTACTTTTAAGTAACAGTAAAAAGTCATCTTTTGTATATTCAGCGTTGCGGGAAAAAGTAATGTACAGTATTACCGCAATATATTTTTTAAAGTAACTAAATGTGTTAGTTCCTTTTTAGGTAAAGTGATGTAAAAGTATGTTATTATTTTAGCATTTTTTTAGACTAAGATATAGGCTTAAATTTGTAATGTATGACTTTTTTACCCAACACTGAATGTAATACAGTTTATAAGTACAGTAACTTGCACAACACGGTCCATGAGACGCTAAAGTTTCAAAAAGATTTGCAAGTGTTTGCAAGTGCCCCTTTTTGTACCCACTATGAGCCCTCAATGCACACTTCTGCCATGGCAATCTCTAAGCAACTGACTTCTAAATAACGGTCAAAGCGGCATTATGTGATAAAAGAGTGGACTCTCGAGGAAGATTGTGAGGGTTTAAGGGGCGATTTGGAACAGAGACAGTGCTTTAAATTTAAAATTTGAATAAAAATAAAGAACAAAGCGGTTGTCATATAGGTTATAAAATCAAGTCATAATACATTTGACGTACATTCATTCATTACTTTTCTTGTCGGCTAAGACCCTCAGCGAAATGAACCGCCAACTTAGCAAGTTTTTACACAGCGAATGCCTTTTTGCTAGGTTTTGAATTAAGTTTTTGCTATAGTTGGAATAATTTCTGGTATTTTCCCAAATTATTAATTTAATAAATAAGTAGTCCAACTATTCTCCAGATATCTCTTTTTTATTTCAGTCGCTATTTCATAGCAGAAGGTCTGTATTTTTGGGCAAGCTAAAAAAACATGAAAATGGTTAGCCATTGAGGTTTCACATTGTCCCCAAAAAGAGCCCAAACTTTCAATATCTGTGTGCAATGCAGACAGTTTAGGGGTTATGAAGAACCTCATCAGATTTTTCAATCTAAACTCTCTGCAAGCTCTTGACGAGCTGGGATCATTTTGATAGTGTTGTCTGTTTTTGCTAGAGTGTTGTGTCAACATACTTTAACTGTTTTGTATTAACTTTTAAGTGAATTGAAATAATTTTTTTTAGTAAGTCATAAAATCTTTTCGGCATGTTTCTGTAATATCTAGGGTAGGGGTGAAAAACTTGTATCACTGTCCTTCATAGCTTTGATCTTTCTAATATCAAGGGCTGAATGTATAATTGCAGATACTTTCCTAGTGAACAAAACAGTATCTGTGACCTACTTCTTGCAATACTTTGAAAAGTGTATTGTACAGTATACAATGGACACTTTGCTTTTTATGAGGCCATGGTACAGGATTTGTAACTGGCAGTGATCAACACAGTTGATGCTGATAATAAATCATGATAATAATAACAACATGGTAATTTTTATACTACACATATCCATAAAACATACTAGGGGCAACAAAATGGTGCTGTGGGTAGCCCGATCGCCTCACAGCAAGAAGGTAAATTATGGCTGGTTCAAACCTCTGATGGGTCAGTTGGCATTTCTGTGTGGAGTTAGCAGGTTATGGGTAAGCTAAATTGTCCTTAGTGTGTATGGATGTTTCTCAGTGATGAGTTGCAGCTGGAAGAGCATCCGCTGCGTAACACATATCCTGGATAAGTTGTGGTGGCGCTGTGGTGACCCCAGATTAATAAAGGGACTAAGCTGAAAAGAAAATTAATTAATGAATAAAACATACTTTATAGTTAAATTTAAGTAATTACATTTAAAATGAGTATCCACTCAAAAACTGCAACCAGTGTCTGCCTTCATTAGAAAATAGTTGGAGCTAAAAATGGCCAGGAATTTTACTATATTATTCTTCATTATTCTTGATGTACTTTATGGTCAAATTTTTATTTATTTATTTTTTATTTTTTGTGGAAAAAAACAAACAATATATCAGTACAAACATCTTTGTTGTTGCTTTTTTTTCAAAAGAAAAGAAAATATATTAAAAAAAGAAAAAATAATGATGATAATAATAAAAATGGAAAAGAAAAACGGAAACCAGAGTAATAAGTGTACAGAAAATTACAACCAACTATCAATGTTGAGAGTAAATATTTACAACTAAACAGTATAAAGTAATAATAGTTTAAAAAAAAAGCATTTATTACTATAAAATAAATCGACTAATAAAGAAGGATAGTGCATCTATAAATTGGAAGGCAAGAGCTTAGGAGAGTTAAAATAAGTTTTAAAACATTGCCACTTTTTAAAGAAATTAGTTTACCCAGAGCATCTAATCTTTTCCAACTTTAGAAAATGCATGGTATCTACAAGCCACTGGGATGTAGTTGGAGGCTCATTTGGCTTATTTGGTTTCCAGTGTAGTAGAATAGTGAGGTAAAGGCCAAAATTTCAAGTTGTTTAGAATTAAACTGGGACCAAATCTTTGGAACCTCAAAAATGGCAACATCAGAGGATGGGTTTATATTTACCAGCAACGCCTGGGACATAATTGTAAAACAATTAATCCAATAATTTTGTAACAGAGAGCACATAAAGAACATTACACTTTGGTGCATGACATCTGTCACATCTGTCGTCAATATTGGGAAAATTTTCAGATAGCCTGGTTCTTGAGAAATGGATTCTATGAAATACTTTAAATTGTATCAGGCTAGGGCGAGCCCTAATTGTACTAGAACGTATTCTCTGCAGCGCACCAAGCCACTATTCTCTCTCAAAACATAGTCCCAATTAATTTTATCTTGATGCATTTTTTATATCAAAGTTCAGACTAAATAAATTCAGCATAATACTATAATCCCACACTATAATTCTTCAAGTACTTTACACTAATAAATACTTATTAAAAACTTTGAAGCTTTGGTTGTAAATGAAAATCCTGGAAACATCATTTTAGCAAAGTGCTTTATTTAATTGAATTTTTTTTATTTGCAGTCATGCTTATGTGACCATATCGTGTCGACATTTGAACAAACTGCAAATAATCAAGCTGTGAACACTGAACATTGCATACTATTTCACAAAACAGACTTTGAAACCAGTTTTGTTCGCAGTATTAGTACGATATCTGAGTCAGTAACAGGTCATTGAGATAAAAAAAGAAAGCCTCACAAGCTTTATGTGAGACATATAGCACTCTGCTTTGAATTAAATTGAGCTAATAGATTATACAAAGTCATTTTTGGTACACTTTTGGTTTCCCTCAGAGCAAGTTATGATTAAGTTATCTTGCTCAAGGTCACAATGTTGACAAAACAGGAGTCCACAACTTTGCACTGACCCTGACTGCCTTAAAAAACAAAGCCTTAATCATAAAGGCGACCATACAGTATATTCAATCAGTATTTTATCATACTTATTTTTTTTGAAATTCTCTATTTTTAAGCAGAACATTCATACTAGTTGAAATGTTCTTTTTGGCACAGAAAAATAGAATAAAAATATAGCATTATTTGTATCCTTTCATTCAACAAATAACAATACTGACAGGCGTTCAAACCATCACAAGGAATTCCGTCAGCAAAGCTTGCTCTCAACAATGACCTATTCTTTGATGTTAAAGATGTTAAAATGTTTATATTCTAAGGCATTAATTGTTTATACAAGTATGAAACAAAATAATCCCATAGTCCAAAACCAAAAGTCTTAATTAAAACATGTAGATTTCTTCATTTTAATCCACGTAATGCTAAAAATCGAATTAAAACGTTTCACGCTGATGGCTCACGACTTCAAAAACAACATGTTTTCTTAAGGAATACTCTTCATTCATTCCACATGGTACAAAAGATACTTTTTGGCCGTTAAAATACTTTCTTCTGGTTCAAGGCCTCATTTTCAGGTATGTTTCTTAAATAAAACTGATCACCATTATGTCTTTTGCTACAAGACATTGGCATGGTGAGATTTGACAACAGCAGCATCACATAACAGCACTCAGTAAACAATTTACGTTAGATCATTTCCAACAGAAAAATTCAATTATTTGTGCATGCAACTAATAATAATTGCACAAGTAAAAAGAAGAATGGGGATTATATTAGTGTTCTCAAATGTGTGCCTTCTTTGAGCAGTTATGAAAACTCCTTGACTCTCTCTGTGTTCAACTGGTCAATCATACTCTGCTCTCCTTTTGCCTCATTTCCAGCCTGCATCTCTCCGATCATCTCCAGTTCGTCTAGAATATTCTGAACTCTGCGGACGCCGTCCCTCCGAGCCTGACGCACATCTGGACGACCTTCTGGATCTACAGAGTCCAGAGCTAGCAGTTCTTTAGTCAACATCTCCTCCAGTACCAAGTATCTTTTATCATTCTTCTTCCCATCGAAGCCCTTGACATTCTGTGCCAGCTTCTCCACACGTTCCACTATCTGCTGCACTTTGACCAGTCCTGGGTGGCTCAGATCTTGTTCCAGAGTCTCTTCAGGCTGGAGTTGCGGGGACGAGACTTCTTGAGGCGTTTGAGGAGCAGCTGTTTCCTGGGGCTCTGGTGCTGGAGGAACTTGTATGGTAATATTGGATGTTTCTGATACCTGCGGGGAGGGTTGTGCTTTTGGCTGAGGCTGCTGTGTAGGTTGTTGTTGTTGTTGTACTGGCTGATGATGTATCTGCTGGGGAACTTCACTCACTCTTTGAATGGGAACCTCAAATGTAGGTACTCTGATGATTTCTTCAACTGGATGTTCAATTTTTGAAGGTATGGCTGTGTGTCCAATATGTTGCTGCATCTAGAAATGAAAACATATTCTCTTTAGTTTCATTTATATGTACCTCTTTTATTTACTTATTTATGATTACTTGATTAATAATAACAATAAATATGACATAAATGAACATTAGAGGTGCAAGAAGCAATTTATGCCAAACAATATTATTTGAAAGTACCAAAAATAACAACCCAGGCTAATTCTGAAAATGTACCTCGATATACATTCCTGGAGACCGCCAAATACATCCCAGGAGCTACGTATGTTTTGCAGTTTTTGTTTTCGCGAATTCACTAGAGGCCACTGTGTGCACTTTTTGAGATTTCAAATTTCCCTCGTGAGTGCAATTCGCTCCTGTTGTTTTTATGTAAATCCACCAGAGGCCGCTGTTGACTGACTATTTGACTGTCTGATTGACTGAGTGACTAACCGATCAGCTGACCCACCCTCCTCTTTCCATAAACCCAACCAATAATATTTTTAAAAGCACCCACTGACCTGCCCATCCACATCCCTAAACCCAATCAACAATTTTAAAAAGCAATCAAGAAAAAGAAAAGACCTCGCCAGATTTTTTACTGCGTTTTCAGATTTTACCATACTTTTTACACATTCTTACCATATTGTTTACATGTTTATTTTCATCGTGGTCAACTCCTCTTTTCGTCTCAAGTCTGCTGGCGTACATGGTGAGCTAACCGGACAAACTAGCAACAGCATGAAAGCTGTCCACTTGGAGGTAGTCAGTAGCGTTTGTTTTAAAGATAAAATGCAGCCATATATAGCTCTGGCTACATAATTCGCGATCTCCAGAAACGTACATAGGGCTACATTTTCAGAATGAGCCTATGTTGAAAAATAATACGCCAAAACAAACCAGCCTGATCAAAAAAGGAAATGTAACTATTTTACTATTTGTCAGTTTAGTGGCTAATTCGCACAAATTTGTACGAGTTCAGTCAAACGTAAACGTAAGATTTTAAAAAGAAGGCATAGCATCCAACCCCACCCTTAAACCCAACCGTCATTGGGGGATGAGCAAACCATAATAAATCTAACAAATGAGATCATACAAATTCATACAAATTAGCCACTAAATCAAAAGGTTACAAATTGTCATGGCATGCCCTTTTTGAATTCTCCACTAGTGTTACTAGACAAACCCCTTACTGAAGATTGGCTGCAAGTGTGTTTTGGGTATCGGTCAGACACTGGTGTCATAAGCATTTCTCAAAAATTGCTAAGTGCACTTTTGAACAGAAAATTCATTCAAAAATGAAAATTATGTCATTATTTATGCATCCTCCATTAGTTCAAACATGCTTAAGGTTTTTTCTGTTGTTGAACACAAAAGGAGATATTTTGAAGAAACCTGTAGCCATTAAAATGAAAATTTTCCTTCTATCAATGTCAATGGCTACACTTTTCTTTAGATTATGTTTTTTTTTTTTCATCTTTCAGTAAAATATCCTCTTGATAAATAACACACATACCTGAGGCCTCTCTCCCATGATCTGAGCCATGACTGGCGACTGGGCTCTTAAGGGGACTTGGATGGGACTGGCAGCACGGTTCTGTTGAATCTGAATGGGCACTTGTTCACGGTAGATTTTTTCTCGAGTGGGATGAGAACTTTGGCTAAGCTGGGATGGCAAGACCCCCCCGGCACCCTCATGGATCACCGGAATGGGGATGTATCCTGCCCGGAGACCTGTATTGCTGGATCTGGGCTGCTGGTGAAGGCCACTGATTTGTTGGTGGGTCCCTTGTGGTTGATATCCCTTTGGTAAATAAAAACAGAGTTTGGGTCTGCATTAAATTGGTCAAAATTTACCTTAACAACACTTGTATTTATATAAATGTCACAAACAAACATTAGAAAGTTTTTACAACATATAAATTTACTACAAATTTCTACAGCTGTTGAAAATCCAGCTTTGCCTTCACAGGAATAATAATTGCATTTTAAGATATATTAAAATAGAAAATATTTATTTAAAATTAATATTGTAATGTTCTTGTATTGTTTTTGCAGTTTATGATTATATAAAAACACGAGTAGCACTGGTGGGAGGTGTGCATTGGCACAAGGCCGCAGGCTCTTTTGTGTGAGGAACTACTTTCTTCCGCCATTCATTCACATCTGCAGCTGATGTCAGAAAAGCAGAAACCCTTGCTCATTCACATGTCATTTTAGAGCTTGTATTTAAATGATTCTCTAGTGTAATATCTAAAGTGATGACAAAACAGGTGATTTTGCTCACATTTAAATTTTTCTAAGGCTGAACAGCATGAAATGCCATCAGTCTACAGATTTCCTTGTATTTCTCTGTTTTAATCAGTATATAACACTAAGTAAATAACACAATAATTATCCCCAAAAAAGCCAACCCAGCACAAACACTACCAGATTACTGTTGTGTTTGTGATAAAGAAAAACGTTTAAGACATGCGGGTATTTCTTTTTTGTTTCTGTTTACTGTACTAGTCTACAGTAGTAAAAACAGGAGACTCATTAGAAACAAACAGATAGCCCAGGGTTATACAAAGAGTGGCCAACACAAAATACATTCCTAATATGTGAGTCCCTTCTCACTCTCAACACACTACAATTACTATGGTATAAATACAGCACTACAACATACAAAAGAGAGCGATCGACTTCCAATCCCAATTCTACCCCATTAGCCCTTCCCCTTACCCCTACCCTTCGTTTGACGAGTTCCCGTGAAGGGGTAGGGGTGTCCCAATTCTCTTTAGCTTAAAGGCGTAGGGCTAAGGGGAAGGGTTAGACAGCCCTTCGAACTGAGATTTTTCCGGACTACACTCGAAACCAAGGGGTAAGAAAATTTTCCAAAATACACCAGCTAAAACGGTAACATAGCTGCACCCGGAAGTAAGGAGGTCTACAAAAAATAACACAACTGGAATAACTACAGCAGTCACGATCGACGATCTCCTATGAAGTAAGAGCTCGCGATGGCATATCATGACGTGTGCAGGTGCTGTAGTGGTGTCCCATTTCTTAGGAGTAAATTTTTCAGCCCTTCAACTTTACACTCAGTTTTAAGGGGCATGGGGAAGGGATAGGGGTACAAAATAGAATTGGGATTGGGCCTTAGAATGTCACTTAACAGTTTTATAATGATTTGATCAGCTGTAATTTTTCTCCTCTAAAAGCTTATTATGCAGTCTCTGTCGCCATCTGGTGGATGGCGTGGTATCTTATAAATATTTAAAATAGGGTTTATTCTTATAAATAAACTGCATAGTTGTAATCTAAACAACTACATTCTGCCTAAAAAGCCTCAAAAGTACATTATGTTGTCCAACAGCAGCAATATTTGTCAAACTGTAGTGAGTTTATTGATCTACTGTCACTCTGTGTGGGTGGAGTAATACATAAGGGTGAGGAGGCTGTACGATTGCAGAATATTGCACTGCTATCAGCCAATCAGATCCGGGAACCAGACAGAACTGTTGTATATATATTCTAGATATATATATATTCTCCCCATGTTTGTCTGGATGTCCTCCGGGTCCTCTGGTTTGCCCCACAGTCCAAAGACGTGCGGTATATGTGAATTGAATAAACTAAATTGGCCATAGTGTACAGGTATGTGTGAATGCGAGAATGTATGGGTGATCTTCAGTACTGGGTTGTTGCTGGAAGAGTATCCTCTGCGTAAAAAATATGTTGAGTCAGTTGGCGGATCATTCCGCTGTGGTGACCCCTGATAAATAAAGGGACTAAACCGAAGGAAAATGAATGAATGAATGAATAAGCTAAATAGTAAACAGAGACTCAGCAATGAAATGCTTATATACAATTTTCATCAGATGTAATTTTTCAACACCCTATTAAACACCATTTTTTTAAATGAAAAGTCAGGGCATCAGGAAGATTTTACAAATGAAGAAATTTTCATAAAAGTAAAAAATTAGCTATTCATTTATTCTGACTTAACTCTGAGATAAATTAAAAGTTTTCTTTAGGCTGTGCCATAAATGTAATAGTAAATAATATTTAGTTTCCTGCACTGATTGAAGTTTTGTTTCACGTTTCACGAAACCTCAATATATCAACAGGAGATATCTGTTTTGTTTTGCCTCGATATCCTTTTTTTGCTGTTTTAGCTAAATATTTTCTTTAAAATCCTACTAAAGAAAATCTCAGCGACATATTCGATGACCCAAGGGCAAGTAAATTAACAACCAATTTTACAGTGAACTATCCTCTTAATGCAAACCTTTCCCAATAAACCCAAGACAGAGACTGCCACTTCTATAGATTGCTTTCTCATGATCTTACCTCAGGCCCGTGTGAAGTAGGTGAGCAAGACGAACATGCTTCTGATGGGGTCTGCACTGGAGATCTAGGCCGACAGTGTGCTGCTGGCGTTGGGGAAGGTGTACGTCCATCTGTTCTCAGATTCTGCTGCACCGCTGGATGAATGTAGGAGAAACTAGGATACTGCTGCAGCCTGGGTTCAGGGTTTTCATGACAGACAGGGATGGGGATGTAGCCCTGCCGGAGCATTGGCTGCCTCATCTCATTAATAAAGGTTTTGTGCATGTCCTGAGGAGTCTCTGGGGACATTGAAGGACCATTGGAAAAAATCTGAAACAAGAAAACGTAAACAGTTCAAACTCTTTTCCATTGCAATTGGGTGAAATATTTCACACCGTAATGCCAGCAATTCTTTATACGCCGGTCTACACAAGCCTGATAAACAACATCACATCTGATGATACTCTTTAGCTGTGAAGTATTTAGTAGCTGTCTGTGAAATTGCTTTGGAGAAGGCAAATAACAAAAGCATGCAGTTGACTGGGTTATTGAATAAGCTCCAGTTATCAATACTGTCATTACAAGCATCATGGCGAAATTCTTTGACTTGCTCCAATAGCTTGGCTATGACTAAAGACATAAAAAAACAATTCAGGGGTAATGGTATGTAGGTGTTGTCTGTGAAATAACACTGCTGCAAATGTAAAAACCAAAATAGGGACAAACATTTCTACACTCAATAAAACAACTTTTGCTGCTTATTCAAACTACTTATTTAAAATGAGTTGAAACAACACAATTCTTTTGTGTTTTTTGGACAACTTAACTGTTTTATGTTCATCCACTTAAATTTGTAAAAACAATTAAGTTAACTTAATCGATTTGTGTTGGGACAACATGAAGGAATGGGCTATATGCACAGCTAGTGTTTTTCAGCCAATGATGAACTTCCGGTGAAAGGTTTATGTGACTATTTTCAATTTCATAAGGTTGCTTTTACAGCATCAATGTTGTGATGTATTTCAAATATAATCAGTTAAATAGATTTAAGCATCCATTTAGTTGTTAAAGCGTAAAAAAAGATAAAAGATGCAGGTGCCGTCATTAGCAGCAGGCTAGCGCAGAAACTCCATTAAAAATACTGGGGTAAAATAAATTTTCATATTTTAAAGACACGGCACGGATATTATTTAACGCAGTGCTTCTTGTTTGGTCTGAGACCTACTAAATATCGTATCTCAGCTAGGCAGAGATGATCACTGTTTTTTTTTTTTTTTTAAAGAAATCACATTTAAAACGCTGAGATTTTGTGTGAGATGACAATTCACCAGAAGCCCTGGGCCTGGCTGACTGAAAAGAAAAGCCTATGAATATACCCCATTGTGTGGAACCACAGAATTTTTACAGTGTAGTCACACTTTTATAAACATAATAGGAAATCATTCATTCATTTTCTTTACGGCTTAGTCCCTTTATTAATCCGGGGTCGCCACAGCAGAATGAACCACCAACTTATACAGCACGTTCTTACGCAGCGGATGCCCTTCCAGCCCCAACCCATTTCTGGGAAACATCCACACACCCTCATTCACACTCATACACTGTGGACAATTTGGGCTACCCAATTCACCTGTACCGCATGCCTTTGGACTGTGGGGGAAACCGGAGCACCCAGAGGAAACCCACATGAATTCAGGGAGAACATGCAAACTCCACACAGAAACGCCAAATGACCCAGTAGAGGCTCAAACCAGCGACCTTCTTGCTATGTGGTGACAGCACTACCTGCTGCGCCACTGTGTCGCCATAATAAGAAATCACTGTGTATTAATAAGACACTGTCTAGTATACTGTATTTAAAGATTATCCAAAAATGAAGTTTGCCTTTCTTACTTTAGTGGTTCTAAACTATTATGAATTTCTTTCTTCTGTTAAACAGAAAACAAGGTATTTTGAAGAAAGTTAAAAAAACAGCTATTCACATCCATACTAGGAACAGAAAATAATATAGAAGTCAATAGTTTTTTTTCCCCAAACATTCGTCAGTGTAACTTCCTTTGTAACAAGTAACAGAAGAAAGGGGGAGAGTAAATCATGGCAGAATTTACATTTTTGGCTGAACTATCCCTTAAAATAATATTTAACTCAGCAGTGTGGTTCTGGAAGTAAACACTCCATTCATTCATTCATTGATTTTCTCAATATGAACATTGATTTCTTTAAAAAATATATCTTTGAGCTCCACTATTGTTAATCAATGATTTTGTTTAACAAATGCCAGCAGGCACACAACATCATAAGACATTATTATTAGGTTAGATTTAGGTTGTCTAGCCAGCATCTAAGGACAACAATATTGTGAGGTCCAATAACAATGTTGATATTTGGTTGATGGTATGTTGTGTTAAAAAGTGATCAAAAAACCAAAGTCGAGCCAACCAACATCAGATTGACGTCCTACACTGACATTTATTTTTTAGGTACGGGAACCAAAATCCAACGTCTGACAGACGTCATGGTGGTAATGTCCACACAACGTCAAGCTGCAAAATTATTAGACTTTGATATTTGGTTGATTTTTATTTTCAAACAAAATGCAACGTCCCACAACAGTTGAGTACAACATCAATTTGACGTCATGTTGACATCCTGTGCGTGCTGGGATCTGTTCACATTTATTTAACTTAGCACACTCAAAAATATATTTTGTTGCTTCCTCAAACTACTTATTTATAATGAGCTGAATCAACACAATTCTTGAGGGGTTTTGTGGGATAACTTAATTGTTTTATGTTCAATTAACTTAAACTTGTAAAAACAATTAAGTTAACTTAATCAATTTGTGTAGAGACAACATGAAAAAACACTATTTGTGTGAATAAACCATCTCAAAAGACTTCTACAACTCATAGTACTTACATATTTACAGTATAATTCCATTAAGTCCTTTGAAATGCTACAAGCCGTTCTTGTACTTTTGTCTTTGAGTCTGATTTACAAACATTTCTTTGCTTTTAAAGCAGTTTTAACTGTGGGATTCACCTCATTTTTAGTTTGGTTCATAGCTTACAACCCTTCAACAAAGATGTTATAAAATATCCGTATGGGTAAAAGAGGCTATACCAGTGCTGTTAAACAGTGGGCACTAATGCTTTATATAATGCTATCAGTTTAATGATGCCCATTTTGTGAACTAAAAGTCACTCTAGTATTAGGCATGATGCATTACGTCATGTGATTAACAGTATTTTACACCTGCTAAATCTTTCCTGTTAGCCTCACATCACTGTCAAGTTGTAGGCTTTTACAACTAGTCATATTCAGTCACATGCGACTTTCAGCCGTTGTAAATCTGTCTAACGTAAATTGATATTAGGTTATTGCGGGCAATCAACCAACAACTTGCTAGCGTGTTGAGTCACTGCATTATTCCAGTAAGTAAATGTAAATCTTAAAGCCCGACTGTGGCTTGCGTCTCTTCTCATCTGTTTGACATGCAAAGGTCAATCCGCCCTCTCTCAATGACGAGGCAGTCCAGGATTTAAGCATGAAATATGAGTGGGTAAAACTCACTGTGCACAGCAACTGTTAAGCGACTGCATTGGCTTACAGGATATACCCTGTATGCTGTAGATTCTAATGCCATGACTCACTCTAGGTAGCATTTTTCAATGGGGTTCTGTGCTGTTGACACTGTGTCTTAAAATACTCTTTGTGAGGGGGAGGGCCTCCCTTACTCATCAATGTAAATTAGAGGTGCATAGACAAAACAAACATCAAACAAGATAAAATCCCTAGCATATCATCACAAAACACCTATTTTGATGTTGAAACAGCACAATTACATAATTTAAAAGAGGGGCTTTCACCAAGGGGCTAATGAATAAAAAAGATATGGTCACATTTACTGTATTCAGACTAATTTTGCAGATAAAATACAGTCATTTCAATTGAATTCAACATTAAAAGATTTCCCACACAGATTTTGCTTATGTTAAAGTGATTTTTGTGTGAACTGTGCTCTGTAAAAAATAAATGTTATTTTACAGGTAACTGTCTGTTATTTGTCTGAATCAATATTGGAGTTACTTTTGCACGCTGGAGGAAGGACAACACCATAGCCGAAGTATTACTGTTAGACAGGTAATGTTCTGTTTTAAAACTATTTTAGTCAGGCTAAGCTTATGTTAAACTCTGTTGTGCTTTGAATTGCTTATATGCACAGACATGTTGTTCGATCACTGAAATCTCTCAGCAAAAGATTGATGCGACTATTTTCAGTTTTATGAGCTCTATTGCTTTATCTGCTTTATTGAGCTGAAGTTGCTTTTATATTCACATTGGTTAATTTTTTAACAAAGACAGCCTTCCTATACTGTTTACCATGCTACTCTGAATATTCGCTCCGAAATAGCATGTCGGTATGGCTTAGTAATAAATGTAATTCTTACACGTCGCCGGCCAAACACTAACTAACTGGCAAATGACATGAACTAGTGGGTTGTCTGCTGTTGTGACGCGGTGCGCGTGTTCGCAATTTCAGGAGGCTTGGCTTTGAATCACAGTCCCTCCCTGCCATCCAAAGAAAATATGCTAAGCGGTTAGCATTTTGGCAGATCACCTAAGACGCGTTTCATCTTGCCTTGCCGCGTTTGACCCCTTTACTTTGTTATTTTTTATAATTACAATAAAATATATTTACAGTAATAATTTGTAAAAAATAACAGCAATAATCTGTACAATTGCAGTAATAATTAGTAAAATAGCAGTAATTACCAGTTTTTGTTTCATTTTTTCACAGTTACAATTAAAATTATCAACAGTAATAAATTGTAATTTAATCAATTTTAACCGTAAAGTATGCTCTGTCTTTTTACAGCTTTTTTTTGTAATTTTGTGAACTATTTTCTGTAATTTAACGGAATATCTCTGGAAGCCCTGCTGCCAGTCATTTGACTGTTTTTTACTATTTTATTACAATGTGCTTTCTATGTCGCTACACCAGTTAATTGTAGCTGCAATTTTGCTTGTGTCTGATAAAAAAAAACTATGCATCATCAAAAATGTTGAATTCTACAGTTCAGTAGATGGAGATGCTCTAGATGTGTCATTGTCTATTCTAAATTAAAATGCATAATACAAATCAATGACTGTACATATCAAGACAAATTATACAAAGACATTAAAGTGGGAATACAGGGATAGTGTGAAATGCAACACTCAAAATTCTTCTGACTCCTTTTTCATGACTCATAGGCCTGAAAAAGTTCAAAGATAGCTTGTTGAAGGTGAAATGCTGCACAATTATGACAGCAAAATGTTAAATATCGAGAATGATGGCTGGTTGGTGACCTCACGCCCTCTGCTATTTTGACGCCAAGAGTAGCGCCCAGTTTATCTCCTGGCAGCTGTCTTTCCAGCAGATCCTTGGTGACACTAACTTCGGCCAAGTGTTGATCTACCTAATGAAAGATGCCAACTGGCAAGCCCTTGTGTTCCCCCCTCCGCATATTTGACTTCCAGAACCTGATGTGCGGAGAACAGTTTGACACTTCCAGTGTGTAACTTTTCAAGCCCATTCATTTGGAATGAGTGGGTGGATCTCTCTCAAATCCCATGTAAGGAAAACTTTGAGGGACGTGTTAGCGCTGTGTAGCTCCAGCGATGTGGAGAACAAGCGCAGTGTGCGTAGTTCTCGAGGCTTTAAATAAACATTGTGGAGTCGTTCTAACACTCTCACATATGACTGCAGTGCGTCACACAGTAATCATTTCGCCTGAGATCATCACACTAATATAACGTATATTCGCCCGTGCACTAACATCTTCCGCCAGGCCGTTCAAATACACGCGAAGCGCTGTGTTTCCAAGAGGAGACTGCGATTCAAGCGAATATCAAGTGCGTGGCTCATCTTCCCTAGACAGTCAGCGTCTGCTCAAGTACGATTTTGGATGTACTGAGTGGGCTCGTAGCCTACGCACTCAGCAAAATTGCTTTTTATCGATGAAACAGCCTCTAAAATGCCACAACCCGAAGTAATCTGTTAATAGAGTCACACACAGATCTGCATTTTGAAATCGCCGGAAAACCGATCGCGTTTGACAACGCAACTTCGCAAAAGCAAAAGCAGGGTCGGTCTTACCTTTTTCGTATCGTGCCGCGGATCGTTCCACGTCGTTGTGCGATTGTTGTGATCCACAAAAAACGGCCAGCCTGTCTGCGGGTCAATTTTGATCTCCCAGCCAGGTGGCAGAGGATCGTTAGTTGCCATCGTTTCGACCGGAGACAGTGTTTTCATACTCTGATATTGCTTCGCTCCCGAATATTGAGCCATTACAGCCGCTACAGACGCTTTAAAGGGTCCGTTTGATGACGTACTATCAATGGGGACGGGTTTCTCGAAGCAGCGAGGTCCGAAGACTACCGAGAAAGTTCTAGCTGAGGGATCACTGTTACGCCCACACGTGTGACCAAATATTACCCCTTGACCGTCCAGACACAGATCCACTGAGCTCCTGAGACTTTAATCGCCTCCCCCACGGTTTACTGGACCGAGCGCACTTGTTGCTCTTTTTACTGTTCATTTCTAAATACAGACAGAATCAACACATTTCATACAGTCTGTCAGATCTGTCCTCCAATTTGGCTTCTAACACATAATCCGAAGTTATCAACATGTGAAGAATAGGTCGAGTAATGTCTGGATTATTTCTGTAAACAAATTATAATCGTCTATATTTATATGAATGTAACAACTGTATAATAATTATGCTATTACAATACACTACAATTAAAATAAAATGTAAAAAAAAATCGGTTGTGAGGAATATATTTCATATTCAACCTCTATAAACTCATGATTTATATAAATATTTATGACCTATTTATGTAATTACATTTGTATTTTAATGAATCTTAATTTTGTTTTATAGAAATATTTCATTATTAAAATATACAGTGCTCTGCATAATTCAATACACCCTGTTTTGAAAATGAATATTTTATCCATTTCCCAGTGAATGTGCAATGCATTTTGGTGCATTTAAACAAAACAGATTTATTAAACAGATATATTTATTAAAATAATATTTTAGTCACCAAACATATTTAGAAATTGAAAGATAATACAACTTAATTCAAGTAAAATATTTAAAAAAAATTATAACCTACAACAAAATGTTTTTTTTTTGCTTCTCTTGGTTTTTTATTTTTTTTAATTTGTATTTAACATTTTTCTATAACATATACATTTGGGTGTACTAGTTTTTTGACCGTTTTCGTAAGTTTTTTTTTTAGATAAGCTCCAGATTTAGCTTTGACTAATCTAATCTAATGGATATGCACAAATATAAAACTGTATAGCTTTCTATTATATATGAATTTTAAAAATAGATTTGGAGAAGCTGCTGGAGATTAGTGAGGAGTGTACTTACAATATTTAGTGTTACAATTTTTTATATTCATTTTTTCTATTTTTTATATTTATATTAATATAAATATGCATTATCGTTTAATTTTCATTCATATATGAAAATTAGAATTCTGGCATTTTCTAACACTTAAGCGCTCATACACCTTTGTTTGTATATTTAGAAAGTTAAAAAAAATATTATCAATAAATCAAGACAGAAAAAAATAGTCAAGGGAGGTTTTCGAAGTCCCAAGCAAGATGTTCTCAAATAATGAGTTAATTTGTGACCTGCTAATAATTTAATAACGACTTTTTAGACGCTTTATGGTACTTCTTTATGTTCAAGATTTTTCAAAAATTTTTGCACTGTAAATTATGTATCTATTATGTGTGTAACTATTATGTATGTACCATCTTATGTAAGTATTGTGTATGTATCTAGGCTATGTGTCACAGTAGATTCAAATTGTCACATTTCTCTTGTTGCAAAAAAGGAATATTTGCTACTTCTGTCTATTTGTATTTCTATCTGTTGTAATTGTCTGTTGTTATTGCAATAAAAAACTACTGTCACAGTAGGTTACCTTTTTATTGCTGATTATTGCGATTTAGCTGGTCACTAGTGGACATCGAAAAGCAGGTACACAACTCCTCCAAATTAAGGAAAACCATCAAACAAATAAACCAAGGTCACATTATCAAAAAAAAAAAAAACTTTCACAGAGCTGTCATACACAAGCGTTGACAAAAACTCTGGGAACTGCGGGAAGCTCACCCTTTCTGGCAGATCCAACATTTCCCAAAACACCGTCTGGTACTGCGCACGCGCACTGACATTCTTCCTGACCCTATGCTTCCTGACTAGCCGGGTTCCGCCATTTTCTACTCAAGATTGAAAGTAACACCAGTCCTGTATTGTTCGTCCTAAAAATAAACCCCTTCTGAGAAACTGAAAACAGGTTTTGTTAGCACTCCTTCCGGCATCCAATAATGGAAGACGAGAGCCACCCAAAAACCCTGTAAGTAGCTGAAAACACAAAGCCTGTCAGTGCTCAGTAAATAACCGTTCAATCCTTAGCATCACTGGTTTAGCTAACAGTTAACGTTAGCTCCAATAAAAAACGACGTCCTACCAACGTTTTTGACATTACGTTCTTTTACTAATCTGTTTATTATCGGTAGTCTTTCGGTCACCTGTTATCGCCCCTTTTTCATACAGTTAAGGAATCTTAAAGCGTTTATCTTCACCCGAAGAGCCTTGGAAACATAATTATACATAGCATGTTTAAGCTAAGCTAACGGCTAAGTAGACAAAACGGCCAGCCTTGAGAATAATTCAATGTAAGTCGATTTGACGAATATAAATAAAGTGCGTAAGCTTTAATTTTGCTGCCTGAGTTACACTAGACGAGTTTAGTATATAAATCAACAATACGTCATGGTCGGTGTCAATGTGTTTAAACGAGTAACGTTATGTCATTGTCTGCTGGTGAAGTAAAAGCTGTTATCTAATCTCAGGCCTGTTGTCTTTTATAGAAGTGTGGAGTTTGTGTTTCTCTCAGATAACCTATGAACTAACTTGACGTTGAACTTGAACGCATAGTTTCATTAGTTCGGTTTTGAGTGTAAAAGTATTCCTGTCATAAGGTCATTTAGGCACAAAGGAGCTGTCAGATTTCTGCCCTCAGTCTATCTGTCTAAGTTAGTATATGAAGAAGTTTTTTTATTGTGTATTCAGTGGTTAATTAAAAAAGAAGTTACCTGTTTTTTTATTGAACTCTTTAGATACTAGTAAATGAAAATAGATGGATATGTAGATGTATACAAAGATAGGTATGATGGTGAATATATTTGGGCAATCAAATGATTCATCTTTATAAGACCTTTTTTGATATATTAGGTTTAGGGGGTTTATTTTGCTGTTTTAAGATTATTCTAAAGTCATATTGTGTTCCCTTTTATTCATAAATGCATTGAGGATGATCAATGAGTCATGACATCCAATCTGTAATTACACTTGTGTTTTTTTTTAACATGTGGTAAATTTGCATTTTCAGCTATGTGGGGAATCTTTCAAGAGATGTAACGGAGAACTTGATCCTACAGTTATTTACTCAGATTGGGCCATGTAAAAGTTGTAAAATGATAACAGAGGTAAACATCCATCACACAGTACTTTGTTCCCAAATGTTGTCTTTGAGCTCATGATGAATGTAAATGGGCTTGTGTGGAAAACATTGCATTTACATTAACTTTGAAAATAAATGTACTTTTTAGTTTGTGTTTAAAATGAACCAAAACATTATTTTAAAGATAAAAAATATTCCACCCAAGTCTTCCACCCAATACCCATGACTTTGCAATAATACATTTTCCTGGCTTTTCTTCTCAGCAGTCTGATAGCAGCAGGAAGATGAACTCTTCTTCTATTGGATTTTCTGTTTTGCAGCATACAAGCAATGACCCGTATTGCTTTGTGGAGTTCTTTGAACATAGAGACGCTGCTGCGGCATTAGCTGCCATGAACGGAAGGAAGATTTTGGGAAAGGTACATCTTGTGGCATCATTTAGGCCATGTCCAAACATATATGGGTGTTTTTGTAAATGGAGTTTTCCCTGCTTTTGTTTTTAAAACATTCTCTGTCCACCTTTAAATGCAAAAACGCACTGTATGCATGTTAAGGGCACACCGAACCAACAGGTGGCGATAATGACACTTTTACGCTGGGTTTACATCAAACGGAATATGAAGTATTTGCATGAATAAATGGCATACAAATCTATGCAAACATGAGAACAGAGGCGGAATACCGTGCTGAATGCGAACGATGCAGAATGCACAATATGTTTGCCATGAATGCAGAATTTTGCCTCATTATGTCTTTTGCATTTGGCTGGAACCCAGCCATGTTGGCCAATCCAAATGCAGAAAACAACATGCAGGCTGACATCATGAGGCAACAACTTCAGTTGTAGTGTTCATGCAACCACACTGTACCTGAAGTTTTGTACAATCATCACCCTAGCCAGAGTTTTCAGAAAGTTTTAGATTCAGTCACCTGACATTGCATTTTTGTGTGGACAAACAGTAAAACTGCATAGAAAAAAGTGCAGTTTTTAAAAATGAAAAAAAAACGTTTTTGTGGAACAAGTCTTAGTTAAACAAGCTTTGTGTAGTTTGTAGTGAAGTGTTGCAATTTCATGTTATCAGAGGTAATGTCTTCAACAAAAGTATTTATTTATTGACAGGAAGTCAAGGTAAACTGGGCTACCACTCCGAGCAGTCAGAAGAAAGATACATCAAGTAAGTTATCTGATTGTTAAGTAATGTCACACCACATTTTCTGGGTCCTAAAGCCTGGTACACAACAGACTACCATTAAAGGGTCAAGAAACACCAACACACACATATTTTTAGCTGATAACAGTCGTATTTGTGTCCCACACTGCTAAAAACACTATTAGGACACATATATTTCACTTAAAAGTGAAAATTGGTTGTTATTGGTTGGGCGTTATTTCGAACAAATTCGTACTTCCGATTTGAAATGAATTTTTGAAGCTGCGTCATGGCCATGAGATCTTGGCGTGTATTCCAGCATGTAGACTGGACGTCTGTACCTGGGAGTTCCTTATTACGTCTCTGAATGTGTTGCATACATTCATGAGTAAGACTTAGTTCAAACCAATCAGCACGCTCTATTATGTATGCGGTGCAACCTCATTAATATGCATAATAGCTTCCAAGACTGTTTTTACCAGTTACAGTGTTCAGATGGAAGAGAGACGCCGCGTTGTGTTGCCAAGCGGGAGAACATGAATTGTTTGGAGTCCTGTTTTGTGAAAAGAATAACACACGCAGCTTTCTGATGCTACCTACTGGGTGCATCTAAGTTACAGAGAAATGCGTAGGTTTTTTTTTCTCACATTCGCCGTGCGGTAACACACATTGCATGAAAGATACACGCTTCCAGCAATTCCTCGAATCAAATATTTCGTTTGTCACGAGGGGCATGAATAAAATTCCTGAATGAAAGAGCCAAACTGCAGTTAAAGTCCGATATTTAATAATTTCTCAAATAATTTGATTACTGATGTCCATGTAAACACAGTCACTTGTCTTTCTCCTGCGTCTGTGTTTGTTTTGCCTATGTGAAAATCAGGATTTTCCATTTTTATGCAAATTTTTACGTACCATGCCTTTTCCCCTCCTCCGACACCCCCCCTAAACAGAGCTGGACACGCCCACTTTTCTGACTTTTTTCAAAGTAGAGGTGTGAAAACACCCAGCTGAAACAGGGGGGTTTCATGGCCCTTTAAAGAACTTGCAGCAACAAAAACTAACTGTGTTGCTGGCGGTGTCGGATCCTATCTGGACCAAGAGTCAAACAGATGACTGAGGCCGTACTCACACTAGGTACAGTTGCCTCGAACTGGGCCAAAGCACGCTTGTCCCCCCTCCCGTCTCCCCCGACGGCCCGCACTCACACCACAAACGGGCCTCGGCACGCTTACGTCATCGCTGCTGCGCTGTTCAGTGAGAAGCGCTCTCTCACTCAGCACAGTGGAGATTTCTCTAGTTATATAATTTCAGTCTTTAGTTATGCACTGACATGCAGTCAAATATTTCGCCAAACAGTCCTTAGGGATGTGGTGACACGCAGTCAGATATTTCGCCGAACAGATCCGCCACTTTTGGCGCTCATAAACAATCATAAAGCTCTCGTGCTGCAGGAATGAGGAGGTCTGCTGAAGCTGTGCAGCTGTCGTGCTGTGAGGAGTTCTCGTCTTTAATAAACTACGGCAGTTTTCGTTCACTGTACAGTAAGTATGATTAATAAATCCATATGAAACAGCCCCTTAAAGGTCACATCTCGCTTTCAGTTTCGGGCTTTACCCAAGTGAATCGCGCTCAGGCACACCTCTTCCAACCGGGCCAGGGCCGGCCAAGTGAACCGTGCTTGAGCCCGATTCAGCGCACTCACACTTCTCAAACGATCCGGGAAACGGGCCTGGGCACGGTACAGATGGCAGATTGTGATAAGGCCCTGAAACAAGAACATATGTTCTGCACCTGTGTAAATGGTTGTGTCTTTTCATACATGGCAGTATCTGTATTGTCATTCAACAAAGTAAAAGCATTACAAGGTGCTGCACACGTACAAAGCAGCGTCTGTATTTTTGCACATAATGGAGGGTTTCAATCGTGCAACTATAGCCCCTTTCACACAGTGATACCGGTAAATTTCTGGAAAATTTCCGGAACGACTTTACCGGTATATTCAAATAAGCGATGTTCACACAGGCGAGGACGTTACGGAAATTTTCCGGAAAAGAGCATTCACACATCCATTCCAAAATACCGGTAAATTCTGACATCATTCACCACAAATGAGCTTTAAACGGCTGCGCTTGTATTTGTAAACATTTGACTAAATTACAAACTCTGTGGATGATCAATATTGTGAACAACTTTTGCAGGATCACTTTCGCATGTCGAGATGTTCATAATATGTGCGTGTGCAGGCGCTCATAGGCGCACGCAAAGCTTGAAGGTAAACAAACAACGGCTTATCATAAGCATCTCATCGATGATTATTTACACAGTTGGCATTAAGAAGAACATATAAACGTGATCTGACTAACTTCTAGCAGCTAAATGTGTCTGGAAAAATATTCAAAGGCTTTTATCCTCACAAACCGCGCGGATGTAAATGCGTCTGACTGTTGTGATTGGCTAAAGCAGACGTCTCACGTCAGCACGTTCTAGACGTGCACGCGCTTATTACGGGAATCTTCCTTCTGCATTCACACAGCGCAGCATTCCGGCAAATTGCCGGTAATGTTGCAACTTCTCTTTCCGGAAAATAGCCAGAACGAATTTACCGGTATTTTCAAAAAGGACCTGTTCACACATACAACCTTATGTCTGATAATCTATATGGATAGCAGCAATTTAAAAAAATGCTACAAAATAACACACAGCCTTGTTTTTTGTTCTTTCTTGAATGGTGTCATTTACTTAGTTTTGTCACATCAGTTTTTTGTTCTTACACTCTGATTAGAATCTGAACAGCCCAAACCTCTTTATTTCACCTAAGCCAAGGTCGAATTTACAGGCTGAATCAGGCTGACTGCCTCAGCTGAGAGGTGATGTGTGGAACACACCAAACAAACTAGCCTGACAAATGATCACAGACTGCCCAATGCTGCCTAATTGATGACTTTTAGTTTGGTGTGTCCAAGTCTTAACACTTGAACAGATGCCAAAAGCTAACTTTAAATGGTACTAATATACTGCTCACAGTGTCCTGTTATACTACTGGCAGCTATGATGTTTATATCCATGCCTAATCTCAGATGGTCAGACGGTGATAAATCTTTTGTAAATTGTTAAAAAAAAATGGTGTCTGTAATGCAGCAGGAATTTAAAAAAACACAATGTGTATACACATAGTGTACACAATGGTTTTGTAAAAAATGTTTTTTGTGCACCAAATGAGCAGAGGCTTGCACTTTGAAACAACATTTCATAAGTTAAATATTAGATTGTCTTTTACATCAGTAGTGGTTTTAGTTTTTTATGAAGTGTTTTTATTTTTCTGCAGATCATTTTCATGTTTTTGTGGGAGACTTGAGCCCTGAGATCACAACTGATGACATCAGAGCTGCATTTGCCCCCTTTGGGAAAATCTCGTAAGTTTTAAGAGGTCACACCCTTCTTGTCTGCATAATGTAGAGTGGTGTGTGTTTACACTAAGCCAGATGACCTTTATATGTAATTTTTTAACCTTTGCATTCTTTAAACATTTCTGTCAGTAATGAAAGCTTTTTTCTCCTTTATATTAAACATCAATGTTTATAGTTTTAAACTTACAGATTTGAATTGAGAACAGGATGTCATATAGTTTTAGAAACCGTATATTTTTAATTTGCATTGGTGATTTTAATGGTCAGTGTCATGAGTAAACACAGGGCAGTTTAGTCAGTATTGTGTACCCGGATTGATCTGTTGTAAAGAGCACCTTAAAAAAATTGCATCACTAATCTCCACTGCTTTTCCCAAATTGGTAAGTAGTTTCGATTTACCTTAAAGTCAACAAAAAAACAACATTATGCAATGCTACTCTGCCAAATTTTCAGAGTCTCTTTTAGCTCTGAGTGTCAGTTAATAGAGCTCTGGTTATTTTACAGAAATGCTCATAGGATTGGACAGGAGCTTGAAGGCTAACAGCAAGGAACTGTGCACTCTGGGAACTCAGATGTAGATTTTTTTTCTATTTACTCTTTGCTTTTCATATTTGTATACTGCAGTATTTTTTTTCTATTAACCCTGACATAGTGTAGACCTTTAACAAACTTCAGATGATTGATGACTATTTGCTTGTAAAAATTGTTTGATGGTTTTCCTAGTTGTGTTGATAGTTTGATTTTCCTACAACTCTAAAAAATGTTAATTTCTCGAAATTTGCAGCTTCCCAAACTCCATATTGGTGGTAAAGAATTGACCAGGAAAAATAAAGAAATCTGTTAACAGGCCATGTATGCCGTTTAATTCCTTTTTTTCTCTTTTGATATTTCTATGTACTCTTGAGTAGAATTAGAGACAGCAGTTCAAATTAGGAATGCATGGTAATGACTTATACTGATGTAATAGTGATTAAGATGATGATGATTGCACAGCTATGAGGAGAGATGTCTAAGAAAAGCTTTTGCTGGAGTTTTTAAACATACATGCAGTAGTGTAGGTTGCATGACTTTGTAACTTGTTTTTATTTTATATAAATTGTTTAATAAGTACCAGTAATCTCGAGAGAAACTGATAGTATACAGTTTTGTTAGAATAACTTAGGATATTGTAACAGTGTCAGTACAGTACAATGTGTGTGTGTGGTTCCTTTCTTTTTTTAAGATCCTCTAGCAAACCGTCAATAAACTGACTTCTCCATTATTACGTTTTGCTTTCAGGGATGCACGAGTGGTGAAGGATATGACAACAGGGAAATCAAAGGGGTATGGATTTGTGTCCTTCTATAACAAACTGGTAAGGCTCCAGTACAGGAACAGAGTGAAGGTTATTCTATTTCTGTTTACTACAATTCATATTATAGCTGTAGCTTTTCAGCAATTCAGTTTAATAGAATCAATCAGACTGTGCTAGTGTTGATTTATTTTTCAGTGTGAGGTTTTAGAAAGATTAGTAATTGTAATTAAAATCAAATTATGATATTTATGTGGATAGTTTCTATTTATACAAATGAACCTATGAAAGACTAGTAGTGTTGCTGAGAGCTTATGTTTTTGCTTTACATTTATGTGTGTTTGTAAATCTGTTGTTTCTTCTTTTTTAGGATGCTGAGAACGCCATAGTACACATGGGAGGTCAGTGGCTTGGTGGACGACAAATCCGGACTAACTGGGCAACTCGCAAACCACCCGCTCCAAAGAGTGTGCAAGACAGTAAGCTTCATTTTAATCATGCTGTTTTAGAGAAAACAAACACTTTATAGCTTTCACACTGCACTTAACCCAAGGTAATTGTTGTTGTACAGCAGGGGTGTCCAAACTTGGTCCTAGAGGGGGTTGCTGTCCTGCATATTTTAGTTCCAATCCCAATTACACACACCTGAACCAGCTAATCAAGCTCTTTCTAGGTGTACTAGAAAATTCCAGGGAGGTGTGTTGATGGAAGTTGGATCTAAACTATGCAGAACACCTGCCATCCAGGTCCAGGTTTGGACACCCCTATTGTAAAGATTTTTTATAAACACAAGAAACATAAATTGTGTCTACTTTAATCTGTGAGGAATTTATTCTATTCCTATTTTCTTGAAGGAATTTTAATCACTTTTAAACCAAATACAGTTTTAGATGGGGCTACACTATATTGTTTTAGCATCGATATCGCAATTTGAGAACCTGCAATAGTCACGTTGCATGACATCAAGCAATTTGAAAAAAGTTAATTTAAACCATTTGGACACAAGAAATGACAAAGTTTACCAGTCTGAAGTCTGTACGGTATTATTTTACATTTGATTGTTGAATTTCTCAAAACTGTTCTTCACCGAAAAGCATAAAAGCGCTGTTTATTTATTGTTTATCTGTCATTTAGTCTGTTATTTTCTGTATATAGATATATATTTCTTTAGAAATTTGTACATGTGATGCAGATTCACTAAAAATCATCCCAATCAGTGTAAAATTATTTTCAAAATGCTTCTGAAACTATTATTATTAAATGTTATCGCAATATATATTGTAAAAAAAAAAAACTAAATATTGCAATGTGAGTTTATCTACAATTTTTGCAGCCCTAGTTTAGAGCAAAAATAAATTGTAAAACGTTATGTAATATAACTCCACATACATTTTCTCGCCATAAAAGAAGTTGACATGGCATTAAACACAAACATACTTGGAGTAAAAAGTGGTTTAAATGCAATCATTTACTTGCTGAGAGCAGGGATTAGGTAAATATGCACTGTAAATTTTCTATGTGAAAAATAAAAATGAACCTTTGGACTGGAAAGTTTCAACCGTGAAACTAGATAACTAGGATTCAGAATAACCCAGAGTTAACTTGAAAAGCCATTTCTCTCTCTCTTTTTGCTATTTATTTTTTCCTGTTGTTGTTAACAGTCTCTAAATTAAGCTGAATTAACACTGACTAATATTTCAGATAGTGCCAAGCAGCTAAGATTTGATGAGGTGGTGAACCAGTCGAGTCCTCAGAACTGCACAGTTTACTGTGGTGGCATTCAGTCAGGACTCACAGGTACATTTTACATCTGCACTGGGCTTTTCACACTGTTAGTGTCGATGCTCGCTCATGTGACTCATGCTTTTCTCTTTAAACAGAGCATCTCATGCGACAGACCTTTTCTCCTTTTGGCCAGATAATGGAGATCAGAGTGTTTCCAGAGAAGGGTTATTCTTTTATCAGGTATCTCTCCAGATACCTGATCTAACTGTTGTTAGTCTTGATTTATGTTCTTGTAAAATAATGTAAACAGACTTTCATATGTTTAATGTTTACCACTACTCGATGATATCAGGGTGTCTGCTGGGTCTTAAAAGTCTTTAAATGTCTTAAATTTCAAAAACTAACTTTTAGGCCTTAGAAATTCTTAAATTGACTGAAATATAGTCTTGTACTGTAGATCTAACATAATTTTAAACAGGTCTTTATTTTCCTTTGTTTATGTAAAGCTATCCAATTGATCCAACTCATCCAATCAGCAACAAATACATCTGAATAAAATAAGCTGAATAAACTGCTGTGCATACATTTAGTTCTTAAACAGTTTTTTTAATGTTGTTAATTATGTTTAATAGTTATGTTGCAAAAAATATATCTATATAACTAGGGTCTTCTTGTTTTGACACATTATTTAAAATATATAGCTAAGAAATAACTAATAAGAATTACAGGCAAATCATATTAGATAGGGCAAGTACATTTATTTTCCTTATGGGCCATTAAAAATTCTTTAGTGTTTAGCCTTGTATAAGTCTGAATTCCTCATGGTCTTAAAAAGCTCTTAAAGTCTTACATTTGATTTTGTGAAACCAGCAGAAACCCTGTTTTATGTAGAGCAGAGTTAGCTCTGTGATTAATTTATTATTGTGTGTATGTAGTTTGTCTGTAGTCGTTTTACCATTTGATAGTGGGATTGAGTTGTGCACCAAATTGATCAAACAAAATCAATGCTGTTTTGCTTAAATTTTCTGTAGTCACAAAATGCATAGATAATATGGATTTTGTTTTGCTAAACTGAAGCTGAGTTGATATTACACTAATTTCCCAACAGGGGGCATCATTAACTGAAGAAAAAAAATCAATCAACCTCCAAATGGACCAATTTTGGGCTTTGAAAGAAAAAGAAACGTGTTCAAAAACTCTTACAAATCCTAACAAAACATTTATATTGATGACAACTTTAATTTTACAAAAGATTTATTTTCCATAAAAATTCATCAATCCACAGTAATGAATAACATTTAAAAACAAAATATTTAAAAACATTTTCTATCAAATTGGTTCACTCCAAAAGAGGCTTATGGAGAAAAACAAATAATTAATTTTTAACCCAAAGTGTATTTCACAATAATTAATTCAATTAATTTTGTTATATTTGTTTATGTTGCATAATAATGTACTGATATATATTATTCAGTGGTTTTAAATGTATTGTCAAGGATTAATTAGCCACATGGTTACGATGATTCTTCTGATTTTATTGTAAATAGGATTATCATTCTCTTCACATTTCTCTTACAAAATCTTCATTTTTTCTCTCAGGTTCTCTTCACATGAAAGTGCTGCTCATGCCATTGTCTCCGTGAATGGCACCACCATTGAAGGACATGTGGTGAAGTGCTACTGGGGCAAAGAATCTCCTGACATGGCCAAAAATGTCCAGCCGGTAATGTGGAGTTTAGTTTTTTGTATGAGGCCAGCATGGGTCTTTTCACCTTCAGTGAGCCCTTACAGTAGTTCTCAATGCTTTATTCACAGATGGAGTACGGTCAGTGGGGACAATGGAATCAAATGTATGGCAATCCGCAACAGTATGGTCAGTACATGACCAATGGCTGGCAAGTACCATCCTATGGAATGTACGGCCAAACATGGAATCAGCAAGGATTTGGTGTCGAGTAAGTTTTTTGGGCGTCCTATCAAACTGTGATCACAAAAAGCCATTAAACGTGGAGGCTGTGTGTTTTGTGAGAATAATGGCCTGTTTCAACTGAGTGGTACGGTTTAGTTCGGTACGCTTTTATCAAGCAAAATAATCTGAACTTTTAAATAATTGGACTAGAAAACAAAAAAATCTTAATTTAGAAAAGCATTTTTGCAGTGTGCAGGAATAGAGAAAAGAGTGCTCTTTTATTATCAGCTGTTAGTCAGCGCCCACTCTTTTTTTTTCTTGTCATTGCACTTTTGCCTTGTGCTGTGTAAATGCAGACGATCGGATACGAGTCACTTTTAAAAGATGATGTAAGCAGGTAATCAAAAAAAATCGGATACAGTCACAAAATCAGAATTGACCTTTAAGATCTGCAGTGTAAATGCAGCCTAATACAAATAGCGCAGGGCAGGGCAGGGCGGAGGACTGAAATTGAGAACCACTGGTGTGCATAAACATGTTGCATGTTTTCCCATATGGAAATCAGCATTTTTTTTATGTAGGAAGTTTAAAATATGTACAATATGTATATGTACAAAATATATAACTCATTTTTGTTGTCGCTATTGTCTTTGCTCTAGACAATCACAGTCCCCTGCCTGGGTGGGAGGTTTTGGGACGCAACCCTCTCAGGCTCAGCCCGGTGCAGTGATGAACCAGGCTAACTTCGGCATGGCCGGATACCAGACACAGTGATCTGACCTTCCCTCTCCATAACAGCCGCTTCTTACTCCTGTACATCCTGCTCTCACAGGGAGAGAATCTGAAGACTCCTTACCCATACAGGCATATGGATCCCAAGCAGGAAACGCTTTATTGTAAAGATGCAAATTTAGAGTAAAGAAGCCAACAAGATGTGCGCCTTCACTGGAAATCTCAGTTCATTCACAAGATTCGATCCTGCTTTAGTTGAATTGGAGATGAAATGTGTCTCTTCCCCCACCCTTTTTGTTTTTTACTGCATATCTCAAAGAAAACTGCTGATTTTTCCCATTGAATCCCAACTTCAGGAACTCCACAGGTACATTACATGAAAATCCCACAACGTAAACAGTTTTCCCACTATGTATTTTCTTTTTTTTCCACTCTTCCTTAATAACTGATCATGCATTTGCTTGTTCATTACAGTACGGACTTTGAATTTTGTACAAAAACAAAACAAACTGCGACAAAAAAATGCCATCAATTCTTCATTCTGACTTGGCAAAGGCACTTTTTGGGGGTTCACTGGACCCGTGTCTTGTAAATGTTGACGTGTAAATGAATTTCTATGTGCAGTGGTGTATATTTAATCCACATTAGCTCCCCGTTCTCCTCGGATTCTAGAGCTCTTTGATACTGTGTGTATAATGTATCTTTTTACTCCCAATTTACAGACAGTGAAATCTCCCGTTCACTACGGAGGAAGGGTCACGACGGCCAAACCTGTAAATATCTTTTGATATCTCGGCCTGGAAAAAGGGTTTCAGAAGCATGCGCTCTACTTGACAAGACCTTTTTTTTTTTGTAGAACTAAAGCAGCGTATGTTAGACAAACGTTACATGTGTGACTGATATTTACAAGCCTTAATTTTTGCTCGGTCACACACAGATTTTCAGCTGAACACTTCGAGACCCTCATAGAGAGCTGTACGATTTATTTTAGATCCTACTGTACATTTGTCCCTTTGCTGTTTTTAAAAATATGCGTGCCATTTTTTTTTTTCGAGTAGCCAGAGAAAAGGTTTGGATTTTTGGTTTGGATTTTTTGTTTTCTTCCCTTTGGGAATGTTGAGAAATTGCATGTTTCAAACCATAATATTGAGGTTGCTCAAAGCATTGAATGTAAAAGGCAGAAATGTTTGAATACAACTTAGCATTTTGAGTTTTCTTTTTAGGTCTAAATGAGTCAATAAATGAACCATTGGACAAGAACTGTTCTCTTCTCGTTTTGTTTCAGCATATTAAAATGATGAATCCGTTTCTTTTGCAATTATTTATTGCCTATTATCAAGAATGAATAGAGAGAATATTCATAAATATAAATGTCTTTGTATACATGCAAGTGAAATTGTTTCAAGATTAATATACACTATAGCCATTTGGTTATATGCTGATATGCTTCACACACTATAATATACAAGTTCATGTCAAAGATGAAATAAGTTTAGAAAAATGTATACAACAACTTTCCAAAGGCTAATAATACACAATGACTCTTCAGAACATGTCAAATGTAGCAGTCTAATATCAGCTTTCAGTTAAGTTTCCATATGTGATTAGAAAGAAAATTCCCAGCAAACAATTTTGTGTTTAGTAGACGTCTAATAGACATCTAAATGTTGACAGCTTGGCTTAAACAAACCTAAACTTGGGCTGTCAGTGAAAATCTAATAGACATCTGAGAATAGCCCAAAACTAGACTGGTCGTCAAATAGACAGACTTTATATGTGTAGTCATTCATTTCTGTTTATTTGATGACTAGTCAGGTTTTGGCCTATTCTTAGACATCTGTTAGATTTTTACTGACAGACAGCCCAAATTTAGCCTTGTTTTAGCCAGGATGTTTAAACATCTATTAAACATATTTTAAAAACAAAAAATGCTTAGGTTGAGATTTATTAGAACTAATAATGAAAATTCTTCAATGTGAAAGAAGATTTCCAGCCTGATACAGTTGAAATTCCCAGAAATGAGGGAATAAATTGTACGCACCACAATACATCAATACACCGAGCTGAAACGTTACTCAAGCGGAATATAATCAGACTGTCAATCATAGCTTGTAATTGCAGGTTAAACCGTCAGTATAGAGAACAGGTATAAGAGCACTACTTCATCTATTGTACAGCAATACCTTCCTCTTTAGACCAGGCTTATTATTAGTCAGTTTCTGCATTTGAGGATTCAGTGACGTGCTGAAGTGTTGTTTTCAGTGACGACTGGCCATCCTACATCTGGATACAGACGATTCCTCGCGCTCCCCATTGGACCAGTTAATGACCAGGATGGGCCCTGAGCCAAGACTCTTTCCAGATTTACATGAATGTTCCCTCCTGAAGCCGGTCTTGATTCCTGTAATAATGCAATTATAGCACATAATTTATATATTTCATATTTGTTATTTAAAAAAAATAATCATTATATATCTGACTCACATCATCTCTATTCGTCTGCTTATCCATGTCTCTGCTTTCTGTGTTGAATGTCTGAAGTCTCATTTTCTCCATGACAAAATCCAGTTTAGACATTATAGCGGATACAGAATTTTCAAGCTGTGAAACTTTGTGAACCAGCCTGTAATGGAAAAGTAAAAATGACTGTTAGACATTAAGTCAAGAAATGCACCACCACCCTGTTTTTTTGTTTTTTTTAAAGATATATTTAAAGTCCCATAAACATCAGCATTATTGTTAAGTAACACAAAAAAATATCTAGAATAAAAATGTTAAAAACATTACATAGACTTATACTAATGTAAAAAGTACATTAGAAATAATAAATACTAGCATACAAATACTTTTAAAAGACAACTGAACATGCCAGATACGACATGTGAAAATATAACTTGTGTAAATCTAATTTTATTCTGTTTATTAACCTTTTAAAGAAACAAAAAAATGTAAACAAATTATATTCCCAACCTTCCCCCATAAACAAAAATAAACAACAATTACACGCAAAAAAAAAAACAAATAACAAATTTAAATATAAAAATATATTTAAATACTTCAAATACAAAAACTAATTTAAAAATAAAAATATTTATAGAAAAAATACATACATTTGAAGTCAGAATAATTTCCCCCTCTGAATTATTAGCCCCCCTGTTTATTTTTTCCCCAATTTTTGCTTTATGGAGAGATTTTTTCAACATATTTCTAAACATAATAGTTTTAATAACTAATTATTTAATTATATTATCTTTGCCGTGATAAGAGTAAATACTATTTGACTAGACATTTGTAAGACACTTCTATACAGCTTAAAGTGACATTTAAAAAGGCCTAATTAGGTTGACTAGGCAGGTAGACTATCGGAAAAAAAAAAGATATATATATATATATATATATATATATATATATATATATATATATATTTTTTTTTTTTTTTTTTTTTTAAAGGGTCTAATAATTTTGACCTTAAAATGGCTTTTAAAAAATTGAAAACAAATAAGATTTTGAAGAAAAAATATTATCAGACATCCTGTGAAAATGTCCTTGCTCTGTTAAACATCATTTGGAAAATATTTTTAAAAATAAGCCATGTACAGAGTACACATGTACATCAACAAACTAAAATTATAGACCTCCTAATCCTCAGGTACAAAATACTTAATTAAGTGAAGTTATACAAAGTTATTTCGAGAGGAGCATGTGATATGATTGATCGCGGCTGGTCTGTCATCTGTATTCAGCAATAATTCAATCACATTGATTCAAGCTTACAATAAATAGACCAATTTCGTCCTACTGTCTTAAGCTGCGGTCACACTGCACTTTTCTCCCCATAGTCTTTCATTCATACGCACACGAATGCAGCAGACTGGAAACACAAGCTTGTGCAACAAGTTTCACAGTTGGCTGCGTTAGAAAGTTCAAACTTGGTGATCTCTGACCTGCGAAATCACATCACATGATAGCATGAGACCAATCGAAGATCAAAACATGACCTCTCTGGACAGGAATTTAAAACATGGACCAAACGCTTGCTTTTTTAAATGTCTAATCATCTTGTTTAATCCCGCCGCTTTTTGCAGCACCATACAACAGAATTTCAACAGATTTTGGAGGGATCCCCCCTTCCACCCCATCTCCTCCTTTTTTCTACTTTTAACAGGGGGAGCTCTCGAGACCTACCGGATCCCAGAGTCCTTGTATGCTTATTTACTAGGCAGGAGCTCTGGGTTCTCTCCCTGGACCGCATGCCAAACCTGCTAATAGCATCAAGCAATAAGTGTGGACTCTTAAAGTTCACTCTACAATTAAAAAACTCTAAGGCTTAGATTGACAGTCTGTAGAATAACTCACATGCTTAACAACCCTAATTTTTATACAGTAATTAACTTGGCTAGAGCTAAAAGTGACTAAAGGTTGAATTTAAAAAGGATCATTTAAAAAAATATATTTGTTGACCTTTTTCTTTAAATGTCCTGCCAAAGAAAAGCATGTTAGTAGTTTAAACAAACAATGGATAAAAAATTATCAAAATCTTTCCATTTTCAGGCCTCTAAAATCTATTGAACAGAAAAAACAAAAAAGTATTCTGGTTTTACTTGAAAACATACCAAGATTAAAACTGAAAATATGAAAATAAACTGAAAATAATTCTGAATACTATAATAATACAGAAATAAACAATAGCAGAATAACACTGAACATGTTGAGGAATTACACTCTGAACACAAACCTCTGATAGTCCTCTGGAGGAACAGTGTTTCTGTGTTCCTCTGCTGGTTCCACACTGTTCTCGAGGTCACGCAGCTCTGCACTGAGAGCATCCTGAGCATAAAAATGCACAATAAAAATCAAAATCAGTGTCATCCATCAACACTAACTAGCTAAATTAAACAAACATACCCTTTTCTCCTCCAGCTCCTGCTTCATGTTCTCCTGCTCCTGCTTGTCTAAAGTCTGGTTTCCATCCTGGTCGAATTTGGAGAAAGCGGCTGAGATCTCTCGGTCACTGTGACCCATCCTGACACGCAGGACACACAACCAGAAAACAGGACTTCTGCATTATACTTGAATGTTTTAATTTGACCTGAATAATAACTAGAACATCAATTACTACCTGTTTTTATGTCCATAAACAATACTGTAATGTGTTTAGAGTTTAGGGAGAAATAGTCAATAATGCACATCAATTATCTAGATGTATATTAAATTTTATTGTTTACAATATTTCCCACTTATTGAAATGTTCCTGGTGTCAACTTAACTCAAAAAATGAATAAAACTACTTCAAGAGTTCACACTTAGCTAATAATTAGCATGTTTGGGATGCTGTCCCGGGAGAGAGCTCTGAGCTCATAAGATCCTTGAGCCCTGGGCTCTCTCCCATTAGCAGGGCAAGAGGGGAGTTTGAGCTCAGGTAGATCTTGATGAACTCCACCAACTTATTTCTGGCTATTGGCAGATATAAGATGGCTAAGGAGATAAACGACTTGCTAAGAGCTTGACTATGATGCCAATTTGGTATGTTCAATTACTTAGGCTGCATGTTTTTTGGACTGTGAGAGGAAACCGGAGAACGCAGGGAAAACCCACGCGAGCAAGAGGAGAACGAGCAAAAATGTTGACTGGTTTAGTAGGAACTTTAACCAAAAACATTCTTGCCGTGAGGCAACAATGCTAAAGCACTGCGCCACCGTGTCGCCCATCTAGAAAAGATGGGGAGTAGGGGTGGGTGGGCAATGATCACACTGCGCTTTTCACCCCAGAGACTTCCATTCATATGCAAGCAAAGGCAAAAAAATGGAAATGCAAGCTCGTGCGACAAGTTTTGCAGTTGGCTGCGTTGGAAAGTTCAAGCTTGGTAAACTCTGACCTGCGAAATCGCATCACATGACTGCATAAGACCAATCGAAGAGCAAAACATGACCTCTCTGGACAGAAATGTAAAATATGAACCAACCGCTCGTTTTTAAATGTCTAATCATCTTGTTTATTCCTGCTCCTTTTCACAGCACTGTACAACAGAATTTTGCATACTCAAAGTCTATAGCGTGACTGCAGGCTTTCTAGAAACATCTGTGCAGGTGTGTTGAGGCAAGTTGGAGCTAAAATTAGCAAGACACAAGACCTCCAGGACCAAGTTTGGACATTCCTGCTGTACATAAATAGTTTGTGAACTTGTTTTTTATTTGTAAATGTATTGCTTTTAATTTCACATTGAGAAGATAAAGGTTCTTTTAAATATTCAAATATATATG